GATTTACAGCTAGCCAGCACAATGGTTAGGCGAAAAGTTTAGATGTTCCATACATCTGAGTAAATTCACCAAATCTTCGTGTCTGGTCTGGTTAAATCCATTTTGGGCTGGTAACATTTCGAAGTTACCAGCCTTGATGTCTGGCTGGTTTTTGGCTTATTTTTCATACACTGTTGTTACATCAGTATGTGTTCCGAAGAGTTAGTTAGGGACTAAGGAATGGAAAGTCAAACGAAAGAAAATAAAGATAAAATGTCTTTTGATGCAACAAAATATTTCTGGTACATGTATCTATCTACGGAAAGCTGAGCGTGTCGTGTCGCAGCACGTGGAGTCGCCGGTAATACACATTATTTATGAATTATGTTTCAAATGGAATCAAATAGATGTGTATTTGTCGAGAGCTCAGTACTGATTATGTACAAGAGGACAATAGTATATGTTCTAACAGCTATCCATGGTTGACAAATGTACTTTATGTATCCACACGTGGCTCATGATTTACCTGAATGACGTAAAACAAAATATCCAGAGACTTTAATGGGTCTCATTATCTCTGTCAACAACACACAATGCGTAAAAGATTTTCATGCATTATGCCAAGTACAGTCTTATCTCATATACATGCACGACTGGTGCCAAACATAACCGACATGGCGAAGAGGTTACTGAAGGCCAATTTCCTTTGTCCTTTGTATCGTTGAAGTTTAATATCTAGTTGCAGATATTTATTACTTTAATAATAATAACTTTGGATATATATTCGGCGTCATAAATGAAGGGTCAAGCTAATGGTAACACTATTTATTATAAGTTGTACAATCTTCGATTTTGTTTGAAATATATACAACTCAATATTTTACAAACTGTCTTAACAGTATGGAGAGACACACCAGGCCGTAGAAATGTCATTATTACGTTCTTTAACGTCTGATACATTCTGTTACAAACGGCACATTTTTAATTCAAATTGTCAATATGGAAATCCACCTGCAACTTAATGTCAACGGTTTGCACGTGCAAGTAGCGCTAGCCATGGAAACGTGAGAAGAATACACATGCACTGATGCTTTTTCACTGTCGTTCACTGTTCAGTTATCTGTTGGAAATCGCAGCTTAAAATGAGACGGTTTTTTTACACTTGCTGAAAGGGGTCAGGCTATAGGCATTTTCGAATCTGGTCAAACTCAGCTGCAGGTTGCTGTCCGCTTTAATAAGTGTGAGAGTGCTATTGGCAGACTGTGACAGAGATATCAAGCCAATGGGTAGGTGGAATATGCACTTCGACCAGGTCGCCCTAGAGTCACAGCCGTCCGAGATGATAGGCACATGATTATCACTGCGTTACGTACCATATTCCTTAACGCAGCAGATCTTCAGACAAAACGCTTCAATTGTTAACAATGTAAGGATATCCAGCACCGTTTGTCGACGTTTAAGGGAAGCCGGGCTCAGCTGTAGGCGACCTGCAGTAGGTCCACAACTAAGGCCACGTCACAGGCAGGCGCGTTTGAGGTGGAGTAGACATCATGGCCGCTGAAATCGACGTCAATGGTCTCGTGTGCTCTTCACAGATGCAAGCAGATTCAATTTGTCCTTCCAGGATGGTCGGCAGGGTATTTATCGCCGCAATGGAGTGTGAATTTCAGATGGAACTGTGGCCACGCATAATCGATTTGGCGCGGTGGTTGGGGGTGGGGTCATGGTGTGGGCAGGGATTACTCCTACTGGACGTACTCCAGTGCACATGGTCGACGGCAATCTTACCGGACAGCGTTATCGGGACGAGATTCTGACTCCTATAGCAGCACCCTTCCTGCAAGCTGTTCATGGCTTTTATGGTCGATCCTCTTTACTTGAAGACGACAACGCTGGGCCTGATAGGGTCCGGATTGTCACGGAATACGTTAGGCAGCAGGCGTAGAGCGGATGGAGTAGCCAGCATGCTCGCCAGACTTCAGCCCAGTTGAGTATGCCTGGGATGAACTCGGTCGACGTGTGTTTACACGTCACCCAGCACCCAGGACTCCGCAGAGCTCTAGTAGAGGAATAGAAAGCGATTCCGCAAGCTTTCGTTATGAACTTGATAAGGACCCTGAGAACAAGGTGCACCTGTGTCCTGGACGTGCGAAGAGAGTACACAAGATATTGATTGACCTATAGCTAGTGCTTCATGTTTGTCATTTTCATTTTCGGGGGTTGGTCTATACAACTGAGGTATGCAAGTGCTGTTGGAACTTTTGGCCTGTTGGTCACGATTTGTCACGTGTGTCAACACATAACACATTAATAACACTCTTAGTTCTATTATTTTTTAGACACTTTTCTTTACATGTGCTACATATCATTTGACCCTTTATTAATGACGCCTAGTATATATAACACTGGTATCCAGTGATCACTGCTCAAAAGCGCTTCTAGGAGCTACATACAAAACTGCAGAAATCGAATTTAATATGTGTGAACATCTCGAGACTTCTTACAAATTTGGTGAACTGCTAATGATAAAATATGACGGAATTTATTGAGTGAAGATATTTTACATGTCATTTTTATCTTCTTTCTCCCGTGAGAACAGTGTAAAGACTCTCCTATCTGATTAACGATGGTCACTGTCAGATAATATTGTTGACGTAATGAAGACATCGTTATTGTCGAATAGAAAACATTATTGTTGCAGTAATTTAGACGCCATTGCAGACGTAATGAAACATCATTGTTGACGAAAAGTAAACGTAAATTTTGACTTATAGTGACGTATTGTACGTCGACGTTGTTGACGTATGGCCGGCATCATTGATGGCGCAATGAAAACGTCATTGTTGAAGTTTAGTAGACGTATTTCAGGCGTCTTAGTAGACGCCATCCTGTTTGTACCGTACTCTTTTTCAGAACGGTTGTCTATTTGGAAGACGTCTGCTTTACAGATTAGTATATATTTTCAGATAATAAATATTATTATAATATATGTGTATATTGTACTGGTATCAACACACGTTTCAGGACGTCTATATTTCCCGAGCAAGATATAATCAATCATAAGTGAAACTGTTTTCAGTTAATCTCAGTTATTAACAAGACTATTTATTCTACCAATAACTTCACAACTTTATATCTATACTGAACCGCAAAAGAAACGTCGCTTTCAAAACCAAATGCAACACCAAATAGGCAGACATGGTAAAAGGTTCCGTTATGACATTTGTGAAAATGAAAATGCACATGCATTCCGTGACAACCGTACCAATGAAAGCCAGTCTCAAACTCGCCTTAAATCATTTTGGTTTTGACACAATCGCCATGCCTTGACTTACGACAGATCAGAGGAACCAAGTCTTGGGGACGTTTGCAAGTTGGCCAGACCGCAAGACAAAAATGATTTCGAAAAAATTCCAATTTGGAAATATCATATTTCCAAAAATTCCAAAATTCTAAAAATGATATTTCCAAGGCTTGGGATTTTTGGTAATTTAGGAAGGATTCTACCTCTTTCAAGTTCTCCTCAACCCAAGGATCCCCATGCGTGTATAGATTTAACTATTTCACATCTTTTGTTCTTTTAGAGTTCTGTTCTTATATGATATACACAATGCATCTTGCATGTGACATATGTATTCATGAGACTGCACGGAGGGTAGCCAATCATTTTATTGTTCATGTTAGGACAATCTACCGACTGCAGGGGTGGTATCAGGTCACTAACAGCATCCAAGATCGTCCACGCAGTGGCGACATTCAGTTACATCGCAACGTCAAGACCGACAGATTGTGCGCCACCATCTGCGGGGTCGCTTCCCAGAACGACGGAAACAGCACGCACTACTATTGGGACTAACAATTCCTGTCCTCACCGCTCATCACCGCCGAAACCGACTGCAATGGGCAACTAAGCATCGAAATTGACGTTATCGACAATGGAGAACTGTGCTTTTATCTTATGAAAGCCGATATTTTGTTTCGACAGTCGATGGCAGAGTGAGAGTATGGCGAAGGCGTGGGGAACTGTTTTCCAATGAGTGTATTCTTGAAAGAGACTCGTGGGGTGGTCCAAGCATCATAGTGTGGGTGGCAATCGGTTTGAAACAGTTAGTTGACACTGTGGTGTTCCAGAATCTTGGTCCAGGATGAGGAAATGACGTGACAGCTGCTCGCTATATTGATTCAGTCATAAGACCCCACGTTGTACCACATTTTGGACGTTACATCTTCCAGCAAGACAACGGTCGTGCCAACACTGCCAGAGGTACATTGGACTTCCAACAACTTGCACTCAATCCGGATTGAAGTCCAATAGAACACCTTTGGAACGAGATTCAAAGAAAGACTGAATGGCCTCCAACCAAGGCCGACAACTGCGACTGGACTCGATCAGGCATTTCGCAGAGTAAAGACCCAAGTGCCCATGACCTTCATCGACTGGCTAATTCCTTCCATGTACAGACGATGCAACGCTTTCATCGATGCCCATGGAGGCCACACATAATACTGACTTTGGGGTATCTTAATGGTACCATTTTTGGTGATTTTGTTTGTTTGAAGTCTAAATGTTATCCCGAAAATGCGTTTACCCCTTTCAAATTTGAACTCAGTCCCCGTTTCGATGGTTAATTAGAGTGAATTTAAGTGTGTGCTTTAACAAACCGCTATCGGTGCGACATTTCTTTTTGTAGTTCAGTATATATATATATATATATATATATATATATATATGTCTGTGTATGTGTGTTTGTGTGTGCATATATATATATGAGTGTAGATTACTATAGGTGCGGTGCACTGCTTACCAATTACCCTTAAATGGTTGGCCGCGAAAGTTTCATTTATGTCTTTAAAACATCACTTGCTAATGTTATGGGGGATGTGAGGCCAGGCCTCGTCTTCAGAAGCAACGTTTTCATTTTGCACTGTTCCGAACATCTTCATCTCGATTGAAAAAGAGACAAAATGAAATGAAAGCTCGCCTACCCCCTTTCAAAGACGCCTGATCCTTTTGATTCCAGTTTTTCTTCAGGGCTGCACAAAGATGCCGGGTTCCAAATGGACACCTGTAGTTGTTCTGCTTGTTTGTCTCTGCAAGGGTGAGTCACGTAGTGTAGCAGCAGTGCACTTTAAGACGTAAATATTGCAGCCATGCATAATTGTACAGGTGTGTAGCAAGCATGGTTATCATACTCTTAAGATTAATTAGTTTTCAGTGTTTACTGCGGTCTCACTTAACGAAATGGAAAATAGTGATATTTAATTAAACTAAATCATTAGTCGTTATTGCCTCCTGAAAACCCATTCAAGTCAGCAAACCGTTTTGCAAAAAAAGTAATAATAAGTAGCATGGCAGTGTTTTGAAAATCAATCGGTATTACGTTACAATGCAACAGGAAGTGTAACGGAAGTATGGACCTTACCTTTTTCTGAGATCGAGGACGCAAGTTTCACATGACTCCTGAAGAAAGCATGACATGTTTGAATATTCATTGTCATAATATGTTTAAGAGACCGGATTAAGCCTATCATTTATTATAGCAATCTGAACTAAGTGTTTTTAGTAAACAAGGTTTAAAGTGTTATGTAGTAATATGTACTGTTCTTCAATTGTACACCTTCCTGAATTGTTCCTCCTTTCCAGCCGTTGATTGTTTGCCGCCAACATTTGACCGGATAAATTCAATACAAGTGAAAGAAAACAAAGCTAAGGGTATGTTGACACACAGAGGTTGTCATAGGTGAAGGCGATGAGGTCAAATGTTAGCCGTGGTTGTAGCTATATGTCGAATATAATGACATACGTCATATCAGAAGGCGCATAGCAGGTGCCTAAGTGTATGTCACCTTTAATATTAAAGAATCTGTGTGATTCTTATAACACGCGTGAGCACATATATTCTTATGCTCTGCATACACCAATGTTCATCACAATTGTTCATCATTTCCGAAAATTATAGAAGATAGTTTTAAAGTGTACAATTACAATGCACAGAGCACTATCTGTTCTAGATACCGCAATCGGTGTTCTGACTGTGAGAGATGTAACCCTTTCCCACATCACAGTGACAATGTCAACGACAACACAACAATACGTGTATTTAAATCAGCATACCAGCACCTCTGGCTTCTATAACGCCAGTATAGTTCTACAGAGACAACTGGACTACGAAACAGTAAGGATCACCTTATGTGGCATTATTATGTTGCATTACCTACGATATATATATATATACGCTGCTGTGTGTATGCATGTATAACGCTGCTATGGTGTGATGCAATGCTTCCAAACATACAGTTGGGTGTTAATGCGTCCCGTATATATTTATGCAGATAAGAACTTATGTCTATGTAGTATGCCCATTTATCTTCAACACACGGTCTCCTGTTGCACATGTTTCTTGATAGGATTTTTTCTTCATTTCTTTTGTTCCTGTAGTGTGTTTCAGTGCCATGATGCATAGATGCCTTGTGGTCCATTTTCTCCATGCCCTCTAATCGGATCACCACACCACATGAATCATGTACCTCTCTACTTCTAACAGTCATATACTTTCAGCTATAGTCACTAGTGACTGGTTATGCACATCTTATTGATTGATGATCACACTTCTCTGTAAATAACTGATTTAGTAGGATTATACGGGATCCATGTCTGATTTTTAGTGGTGGTCCGATTAATTGAAATAATCGAAGATTGGTCGTAGTGACTAAACGACCAAGCAATCGATCATAATTTCTCATAATCGAACACAAACAATTCTGGAACACTTGTTTTCATTAACAATACTTTTACATGGTTGTTTTTTTCTGTTATATTTCGTAAGCACTACAAGCTCGTTTCAAGTCATGATTGAATTTATCTTAAAGACTACAAGAAATTTATGTTCCTAACATACTAGTCATCCTTTAAAGATATGAAATGTTGCCCCAAAACACCCCAAAAGAACTACATGTTTTTTTCCTTATTTTTAAGCGCATTAACAAATTTCACAAATGACGCTAACCAATTAGTTTCGATGATTGATCGGTAGTAATGAACCAATCATCAATTATGAGATTTTAACCAATTCCCAACACCACACTGATTTTGGTATGGAATTTAGAGCCTGGCTGACAAAATTCACTGATCTGATTCTTTTTGAGCCGATAACAGCTAGGACTTGGTAAACCAATTACAACGAAATTTACGCGTTTTTTCACAATCATCTGTCTACTGTCCCACACTGCAATGTCCTATCTCGTGGTAAAGAAAGAATACACAACATATTAACATAATTATCATATGACAGCATTCGGTGTTTCTAAATTGCACATTTTAAATGTCGGATTGTTTACAGGACAACTATAGACTGTGTGCATAGTGGGTGCTACCTCAAGAGCAGGTCTCGCCTAGCCCCTGTACGAACACATGTTGTCAGGGTGTTATCCAAAACACTGGCAGTCTCAAGATGACGTCTCATCAGAAATGGGACTAAATCGTTGTCAGCAATGATTTTCAAAGATTTTCAAAGATTTTCAAATTTTCACCACTGCTCTGCTTTTAAAGTCCAAAGGAATCTGTTCTGGTTCATGATTTAGAGTGTTTATTCAATATCGTTGACATATTCGTATATCTGGTATCATTTCAAGCATCTAAAATTATCTAATTCTAAACCTGACACAAACACGAGTACGTTTATTGTTCAGTTTAGATCTGCAGAATTGTCCTCCTAATTGATAATGATGGAGAACAATGCTAATGGAAAAGGCCTTTGCTGATGATATCTTTTCTTCATTTCAGGATGGAAGCTCGCTGAAACTGCTCTTTACAGCCACCAACCCATCAACTCCGGTAAGTTGACTTGATAACTTCATGACAATCTGTTTTCATCCACCAAACCATCAATTCAGGTAAGTACGCTGGTTAACTTCATGGCAATATATTTTCATCCACCAATCCATCAACTCCGGTAAATACCCTGGTTAACTTCATGGCAACCTTTTTCTCTCATCATTAACTCATCAGCTGTGTTAGGTGAACTTGTTAACTACATGACAAACTGTTTCAAACAACAAATACATCAACTCCAGTAGATGATCTTTATCATACTGGTTATCTTCAGTCCATGACCTTGTAGGCAGCGTGTATACGCTCCACGTGTGCATTGACGGTGTACAAACAAAATGTGCAAATATCACATGTGTTAGTTCATGTAGGTATGTATAGTAACTGTATTTAAGTAACAAGCAGGAACGTGCATTTGGAAACTCCAGATTTAATTTATATACCAGTAATTATAACTGCTGTACTTTCACCCTGATCTTCAATTATTTGAATTCGAACATCAAGTGACTAAAAGTCCCAACAACCAAAATAGTGGTACAATATTAACACATGCATGTTCAATTTTGTGCAGGACGGAGTCCGTCAAATTGTGACAGTCATCATCGAAGACGTCAATGATGTCCCCCCACAGTTCCTGGAGCTGCCCTACTCCGTCTCTGTCCCAGAGGTTGTATAACTTTTGTTGTACTCGTCTGTCGTATTACTCGCTTACAATGATTTTACATGTGGTATATAGAGATTATAACACGAGCAAGTGCATCATATGACTTACACGAAACAACTGTGAAATTTTGCACGAGTTTCGTATAAGTCGTATGGAACACTTGCTCGAGTGTATTAATTTATTATCAAATTTATTCATGTACATTTGTGCAGTAAAACACTGTAAGCAAGTGTGACGGCCCTGTTAACTGACGTCACATTGAATTATTTGATGACGTCACAGATGACGAACTACAGAAACAATGGTTGCTAGGCAAAAAGTGATATGTGCACATGTGCATATATGATATATATGACACTGGTTTTGCTTCACCAGTTGGATAATGATAAGCAATACTAACTCTTTTTCACAATATCCACAGAACGGCTTTTGACAAACGTCAATGGTGTATTATAATTCTCAAATGCTGAGTAATGCGAGAATACATACATTACGAAGTTTTTGAGCTCATGGAGGCATTCCAAGTTTAAGGAGTTCTGGTCGACCTGTTCCCATACCTACCAGTATCGTTGTGAATTATACACTCATTAAGATAACTTGCTCATTTCAGAACGAATCCATCAGCACTGTCATCTTCACAGCCATTAGTAGGGATCCCGACACAGGGATAGGGGGTTTAGTTAACTACACCATGAAGGTACATGCTAGTCTAGCCTTCATATAGTATCAAACAATATTCAAACATTCAGAAACTCAATATAACAATATTATGAAGATTGTAATAGCATGACCTTTCCAGTCAAATGAAGTGAACCTTAGCTAAATACTATGGAGTAATTGAGTCAGATCCGTGAAATGAATATATGAATGAATACCCTTTGACACTCATCTTTCGAGTTTAGACATCACATGCGGATTACACAAGCAAGTTTAATGTATCCAGTACTGGGAACGTGACACTGATTGGAGGGCTGGACTACGAAACTCTCAGTTTCTATCAGTTTACAATCGTTGCCACTGTAAGTATTTGATAATACCAAACTTTTTGTTCAACTGATGTTTTACCCTACTTATTGCTGGTCCTAAGAACTATAAACTGTGTGGAACCGACACGATGCACCCACCAGAGTAAACCTGTGAGGTGAAAATAATGTATTACTTAAACTTAAGAGAACCTCTTAGTATTGCCTTTAGTGCAAGATCAGGGGCTCCTTTCACGAAGCAACCTTTACTAAGGTTAACCTTAACTCCCATTCTTTAACATTGCACTAAGGTTACCTTAGTGACTTACGATCACCTTAGTGATTTTGTGAAAGGATCCCCATGTGACGTTACTAAATTAACGCGTGTCTCAGAAAAAGTATGCATTTGGGAGGCCTGGAAACAATGAAGTATGAACCAGGCAGCTCCATAATTCATATGTGCCCATATATTCATGTTCAGCAGTATACACTCATGGTCAGTGTACACCTATAACCATGTAACAGTTGTGGTACCCTACTCATCATGTATATCCCCCTGCCAGGATGGAGGAGGCCTGACCAGCGAGGCCCAGCTGTTTGTGACTGTAACAGATGTCCAGGACAGACCACCATACTTTACTGGAGGGCCCTACTTACCTCATATCTGGGAGGACCATACTGTGGTGAGGATGTTTGTATTATACACCAGTAGTTGTTTGTGACTGTAACAGATGTCCAGGACAGACCACCATACTTTACTGGAGGACCTTACTTACCTGATATCTGGGAGGACCATGCTGTGGTGAGGCTGTTTGTATTATACACCAGTAGTTGTTTGTGACTGTAAGAGATGTCCAGGACAGACCACCATACTTTACTGGAGAACCTTACTTACCTGATATCTGGGAGGACCATACTGTGGTGAGGATGTTTGTATTATACACCAGTAGTTGTTTTGTGACTGTAACAGATGTCCAGGATAGTCCTCCATACTTTACTGGAGGACCCTACTTACCTCATATCTGGGAGGACCATGCTGTGGTGAGGATGTTTGTATTATACACCAGTAGTTGTTTGTGACTGTAAGAGATTGTCCAGGACAGACCACCATACTTTACTGGCGGGCCTTACTTACCTGATATCTGGGAGGACCATACTGTGGTGAGGCTGTTTGTATTATACACCAGTAGTTGTTTGTGACTGTAAGAGATGTCCAGGACAGACCACCATACTTTACTGGAGGACCTTACTTACCTCATATCTGGGAGGACCATACTGTGGTGAGGATGTTTGTATTATACACCAGTAGTTGTTTGTGACTGTAAGAGATGTCCAGGACAGACCACCATACTTTACTGGAGGACCTTACTTACCTCATATCTGGGAGGACCATACTGAAGTGAGGCTGTTTGGGGTTAACATCAGTAGCTGCTAAACAACTAGTCGTAACTAGACGACTACATTATTGTCAAGTGTCAGAGAACAGTTTTATATGTACAAGTATCAATAAATACTGTTTTCAGAACAGCAGCGTCGTAACCATCTCGGCACTTGACGGAGACAGAGGCAACCCCAACAACATCAACTACAGGATCACAAACGGTATTTATGTTTCATATTTCTCAGTAGATGAGGTAAATGAACTTCTTGATAAAGGTATGCTCGTACAGTGTACATGTTTGTGATGTCCCCCTTATATATTGAAGGAACGTGTCCTGGATATTTCAACGTCAACCCAACAAGTGGATCCATTGACCTGATCAAGGATGCGGACAGAGACAGCGGGATAGTTCTCCAGAACAACGGGATATGTGTTATCAATATCCAGGTGAAAACTTAAGTCATAAATAATCATACCATATTTGGTAATCATTAGGCCTGAACTGCACAGATGCTCTTTGCTTTAACGTCACGATTGCTACAAGAAGCCCGAGCACTTTGACATGGTACATATAAATTATATATAGCACGGAACATTTTACTATCCTGTTATGTTTAATGCTTTATCTCACACAACCGTCCGGGTGGTAAGCTACCCCGATGTTTAGACTGCATCTTCTTACGCCGTAAGTGTGGTTTCGAATCTCTGTTTTTGCATGTGTGGAGACATATTTTGATGTCCACATTATGTGTAAGGACCTAACGATACAATATGTAAAACATGTATCTCTGTGTTCAAGGCTGTGGAGGTGACGTCCTCGGGTACATTCGGTGCTACCGCCAACGACACAGTGACCGTGACAATCAAGGACAAGAACGATAACTCTCCTACGTTTAACAGCTCCCACTACGAGGCAACCATCCAGGAAAACATGCCGGCAGGGATACCCATCACCTTCACGACACAAACAGTACATGTGGAGGATTTGGACCAGGTGTGGGGACACTATGAGTCACAATATGCCTTTGACACTCCTATAACGTTCTCAAACCAACGTTTTCATTACCAGACTTATATTCAGGTCAATGCTTTTATGCTTTCGTCTTAGTAAGCTGAGTTTTAATGTGAAGTTGTTATCTACACGAAGGCATATTTGGTGGACAAACACCCTGAGACACTTGCAATTTCATGAACTTAGTGAGTGAGTGAGTGAGTATGGTTTAACGCCGTTTTGAGCAATATTCCAGCAATATCACGGCGGGGAACACCAAAATGGGTTTCACACATTGTATGCATGTGGGGAATCGAACCCGGGTCTTCGGCGTGACGAGCCAACGCTTTAACCACTAGGCTACCCACCGCCCATGAACTTAGTAGTATCAAACTCTACAATGATCACCATGAGCAGGAAATATATTGAATTGGGAACATTTGTAAGTTTTAGAATATCATGCTGTTCTTATCACCACCACCTCTATTGTTTTTAACTGAATATGTACAAGGAATGTCGTCATTTGATATCAAATGCTCAAATTTGAAACAGTTGAATCGATTACCACACGTCATTATTATTCTTTACATTTGTGCTATATTTGCACGTTCTTATTAAAGCACCTGTCATTTAGGGGTTTGAAATACATGACATTTAGTCTGCTTTGTCACCAGAAAGTTTTTGTTTTGTTATTGTTTTTATTGTTCCCAATACAAAAACATGATGAGTACAAGCACATAGAGGAACATGTGCACATACAAGCTAGTGGGCTCAAAAGCGATATAGTACACTAAGTACATTGAATATCAATATCAGTGATATGTTTTTGTTTAACAGTCATTCAGGGTTAAATTTAGGGATGAGAGGAAACCATTTGACTATAATGCTTCAATATTATTATTTCTTCTGGAGATGAATGAGTCAGTGGTAAATATGTCTTTCAATATCCTTAAGTAATTATCAACTTTTGGAATTGTTTTTTGTCCAAGAGCAAGTGTAAATATATCTCTTAGCAGATAAGATTATGTGGTTCAGTAATGGGTTCTTACCTAAAAAACCAAACCAGATCAAAGATATTGTCAAATTAAGTATTTGGATACGTTTCGTAATCCACTGTTCAAGTTTCTTCCAGAAAGTTTTGGTTTAGTCACATTCCCAGTATACATGGCATAATATTTCAACAGAATCATTACACAAAGAACATATTGTATTGTCCACCAGATTCATTCTTAAAGTTCTTTTTGGTATAAACAAATCCGTGCAGAAATATATATTGAAAATCTAACAGTTTCACATCTCTTAAATTCTTTCTGCAAATATGAAAAATCAGATGCCAATTTAAATCAATACAGTCAAATAATGTTTCCCATTTTGGGCACATGTGAGATTTAACATTTTCAGATAACAATTTATCATAGAATAATCTTGAACCTTTTCTTGGGGATATAAATCCTTTTGGAGTGAATTTATTGTGAGGTCATTAATGTTTATATATCTATGTTCCAAGGTTCAGGTAAAAATATATATAACATATCCAAGATCTAAGTGAGTACCTTTTATATCAAATTTAAGCTTCAATTGATCAAAGGATATAAATCCATGTTCATCACAAAGATCTTTGATCGTCAAGATTCCACTTTTAGCCCAGTGACTAATGATTTGATTTGTCACCAGGAAGTTACCCAAACAGCGATTGAAGTCTTCCATAAAATTTCAGATATTCATCGTTTGAAATGTTTCCTATTTTATTTGCAGTAAATTGGTCAATTTGATTTTCTTGTGTCAGCTGAAAACTTGTTTTTACACTTAATGCGCATTTCCTGTTATACCATATGTTATTCCATAACTGATACGATCTGGATGTTTCTTGACATTTTTGACAATGTTCGACTAAATGGATAAATAGCATTAGAGCAACCTGTTTCCTCCTGTCGAGATGTAGTGAGATATCACCCTTATGCACTGTAATGTCAGGCATATTTCTTATTATAAAGGGGGACAACGCCAAGCTATCGCTGACACTGGATTCATATTCATCGACGTACTTTGAGATTGTCCCGTCCACGGTCCAGGGATCAGCAAGTCTGCTGATCAGAGTGAAGGATAACACCATCCTGGATTATGAACAGAGACAGAACATTACACTGACGGTAACACAACGAACACATCTACTTTTGATAAATACAAACACTTTGGTGTCTGTATTAGTAATCAAGACTTGCGAAGAAACAACATATTAGCTCTCCCTTCGTAATATTGGGGTGGTGTAGAAATGTACGGCCTTGCATCATCTATCATCTCATGATAGATAGGTCTCGAACTGTTATACTTTATATAGAGGTAAAGTATTGATTTCTCCAACGGACTTTTGCATATAAGCTTCCGGACCCGTAAAGTTCCTCACGGATTAGAACTGGTCTTCAGCAGCGCATATTTATCGTAAGTTGCAACTAACGGGATCGTATGGTCAGGCTCGCTGACTTGGTTGACACATGTCATTGGTTCCCTATTGCGCAGATCGATCATGCTCATGCTGTTGAGCACTGGATTGTCTGGTCCGGACTCGATCATTTACATACCGCCACCATATAGCATAGTGCTGAGTGCGGCGTTAAACATTGATCATTATCAAACATTTGTTATCAGTGTTGACTGAGGCACTGCGTTTAATTACTGAACAATATAATATTACACGTATCACGAGCTTGGAAATAATATTTCTTCCTTGAGATTAAAATCAGTGGAGTGGATGAAACACTCTTTATTGCTGCAAATTTACATTCTCCGGTATTTAATGCGCTCCAATACAAAATCGTTATAATGCTAAGAATTGTTTGTGCAGATAGTCGCACTTTATCTTTTTACCCCGTAAATATCCAGGTTTGGGCCAACGAAACCTCCACACCAGAGGGAAACAGTGCATCTACCACCATTCAACTGAATATAACAAATCAGAATGACAACAGTCCCAACTTTACCAGGTCAGACTACAGCGCATCTGTCCGGGAGGGTAGCAACGTCTCCACATCTGTCATCACCGTCAAGGTATTTGTAACAATGTAACATGAAACTTCATGCACATTGCCTACATCATCTGTCCAGGGGGGTACCATCGTCTCCACATCTGTCATCACCGTCAAGGTATTTGTAACAATGTAACATGTAACTCCACGTACATTGCCTACAGCATCTGTTCAGGAGGGTAGCAGCATCTCCACATCTGTCATCACCGTCAAGGTATTTGTAACAATGTAACATGTAACTCCACGTACATTGCCTACAGCATCTGTCCGGGAGGGTAGCAGCATCTCCACATCTGTCATCACCGTCAAGGTATTTGTAACAATGTAACATGTAACTCCACGTACATTGCCTACAGCATCTGTCCAGGAGGGTAGCATCGTCTCCACATCTGTCATCACCGTCAAGGTATTTGTAACAATGTAACATGTAACTTCACGCACACTGCCTACAGCATCTGTCCAGGAGGATAGCATCGTCTCCACATCTGTCATCACCGTCAAGGTATTTGTAACAATGTAACATGTAACTCCACGTACATTGCCTCCAGCATATGTCCGGGAGGGTAGCAGCATCTCCACATCTGTCATCACCGTCAAGGTATTTGTAACAATGTAACATATAACTTCATGCACATTGCCTACATCATCTGTCCAGGGGGATATCATCGTCTCCACATCTGTCATCACCGTCAAGGTATATATAACAATGTAACATGTAGCTTCACGTAAACTGCCCGCAGCTTCTGTCCAGGAGGGTAGCATCGTTTCCACATCTGCCCTCACCGTCAAGGTATTTATAACCTTATAAAATGTAACTCCAAACACACACTGCCTACAGCATCTGTCCAGGGGAGGTACCATCGTCTCCACATCTATCATCACCGTCAAGGTATTTGAAAGACTGCAACGTGTAACATTACCAATGCTCTCGACAGAACACTAACAAGAAGGTAGAAGCTCACCCACATCTGTCATCACCGTCATAGTGTTTGTAACAATGTATAACATGTAACCTTTACCCACACTGCCCACCTAATTTGACCAGATTAGTAGTGGTCACGGCATTTTTAACAATGTAACATGTAACCAATGATTTTAGATATATACCCGAGAGTATGTTTTGACCTTTTACTGCTTTGCAGGCTCTAGACTACGATTTGCCAAACTTTGGAGCTGTCAATTATTCACTACGAGGTGACGATGGAATGTAAGCACACATTTTTAAAGTTATATTTAACTTAAACACTTATGTCATAGTTTTGAGATCTGATATCTATATACTTGATATCTGTGACCTGAGAAACAACTCCTGTTAAATGTTGTTCTGTTGTGTCCAGAAGTCTGAATTTTTATCAATGTAACAAATATCTTCCGACATTTCAAGTTACACTTTGTAGTTTTTGATGGGTGGACAGTGCATCAGTTGGTGGTGACTACTACTGCACTAAAAGTCAGTGAATGAGTTTAGTTTTACGCCGTTTCTATCACGGTGGGGAACATCAGAAATATTATACTCATAAGGGGAATCGAATCTGGTTATTCAGCGTGATGAGCGAACGCCTTAACCCACAGTCGGACTGCGCTAATAACGTCCTGACCATACCATCTTCAACATAAATAATCAGCACAATATATGTTGAAAAATTGAAGCTCTTTAGGTCTTCGTTTCGGAATGTATGTAGAGAGAACGAGCGAGAAAAAGAGAAGGGGCGTAAGAAGGAATAGGGACATACCTGTAACAGTCTGGTTATGACTGTCATTGGCATCCCTAACACTGATGACCAACGCCAACATGTGTTCGCGGTCAATGTTATCTCCAGCTAGCACATCTCCAGTGAGCTCGTCAATGCGAGAGAGAGTGGGAGAGGGACTCATTTGTATCAGAAGAGACAGTTTCTGTGACATCTCTGTTCAAGGTTCGCCATCGATCCCTCTGGCCTGGTAACTGTGGCCTCTGACCAGCTGGACAGAGAGACCAAGTCTGTGTACTACATATCGGTGGAGGCCACAGACCCCGGAGGATTGAAGGACACCGCTCAGCTCACTGTCAACATCACGGACGTCAACGACAATCGACCGGTATTTGGAAGGGACTACGACGGGTATTTGAAAGAAAATGATACCTCCTTTAGTAGACCCATTACTGTCTCGGTACGTATAATGTGACATGCTTAATGTATCTTCCTTTAGTTCGCTTTGGATTTTAATGTGGCTTGTTGTTAACGTAGTCAAAGTGGTATTATGAAAGTGCTATGCATGTTTATCCTTTTATATCTGTCAAGATGTCCACAAATCAAAGCTGCATACATGTTCCCGTAGATCGATCAAGATTCCTCTTGTCATAGTCAATAATGAACATCATCTGACGATTGTTCCTTTTTTCTAAAATGAGGGAACTTTATCCCTTACAATCTGAAACACAACATGGGTGTCAGGATACACATGATACAGGTCGTCCAACTCTGTGTGGATATGTACGTGTGTATCTACCATGTGTACCTTGAAACCAGTGTTCTGTTTCATGTTCTTAAAGATATCTATAATGCAATCAAAATACTTCTAAATGATCTTCAGTTTGACACTTCAGTTACATTGAAAATGTCATTATGAGTGACGCTCAGAAAGCAACTGCAACTGATGAGACAGCATTGATATGCATGGGTCCTCAGAGGGATTCGAAAATGGAAACTGCACTTAATGAACGTTGAAATGTTTTTGTGAATGGGAAACAGAATAGAAAACAAATTAATGTAACATAACAGACATAGCGTAGAAAGCAACAATACCCTCCCATACCCTCCAGCCGCCCCCACCCCGACCTTTCCGCCGGTATCTAGTGTAATACAGTCACATTCAGTTATGCTATAAACAGGAACAGGTTACATTTACATTGTATGGGGTACATGGTTAGCTACTACTAGAACCACATGCTCGCCCACAGGCCACAGACGATGACGTCGGGGTCAATGCCCAAGTGACGTACAGCATCAACCGGACCTACCCAAGCGGCCTCGACGCCCACTTCGCTGTGGACGGCGTCAGCGGTGTCCTCTCTGTGCCCTCTCCTCTGGACTATGAAACCGTGAACAGTAGCCTGGTCGTTGTGTCCGTAAGGGCAACAGACAACGGGACACACCAACTCTACTCAGATGTTAACGTGACACTTACATTGCAGGTATATGAACAATTATGACTCATCGTGAAGAAATATGTGTACCAAATTATTGTATGACTTTACTGGAGTATTTGTTTGAAAAATATTTTTAAGTGCAAAGAACAAAACGCATTCAAACTTCGAATAATCTCATGCTTTTAAAGAAGAAATATGAGAAGAGGTATGAGAAAATAAGTTAACACGACATGTCGTTGTGTGTGCAATTTAGATATTCCTACGTCACCAGTCACTATGCTAATAGCTGTGTGATATACACTCTCATAGTAATTATGAATATATTGTGAATTACAGGACATAAATGATAACACGCCAGTATTCCAGCCAGGATCATATAAACATAGCATTCCTGAAAGAACAGGCACAGGTAAAATGAAAGTTTCAATTCTCTATGTTGAGAAGAATATTTCTTTGGGTATATATGAGTCTTTCTTGTCGCTTTGTATTGAAAACTGCCATGTGTGTTATCTAATCCAAACATACTTCACTGAAATAAAAAACATAAATTATTAACATACATTGTAATTTTACATAGGCCTACGCATTGACTATTAATATGCGTGGTTACCCGATGTATTATGTCTCCAGTTTGTTATACTTACCCATTCGCCACCATATTTTCGCGAACAGTTCCGTTGAAACGACCTTGAAAACATAATACACGCTTACAGAAAACCTTCACGCACAGATATATACACCGCCTACAGACCCTGTCTAAATACTCATGTGGAACTCTATTCCAATTTAAGCGCTGATTCGTTGTAAATTTGTATTTAAAAAAATCATTGGTATGCATATCCTATGCTTCATGTAAATTTCGGAAACCATCTAAGCATCTGATTTGTTGCCGATTTGAGGCTTACCAGAGAAACTATTGTTTCCGAAGTTATTTCTGTAAAAGTGTAACTACGTCACATACAAAACGAAATATGGTGACAAAAAGAGCAAGGTAGTTATCTATAGGCTCGATGTGTTCACTGACATTTTGTGTATGTGAATGTGGTGATTGCAATATGTATGTACCTGTTGTACGTTGTTTGTGTCTGTTCAGTTGTGTTGGCCATTTTCGCTTTTGCTTTTTACATTCCTATTCTTTTTACAAGTAATATAATCCTAACGTGTGAATCTGTTTGCTTATATCGGGCGTCAAATTATGATTCTTTGCAACCACAACCCTGCATTCCTCATCCGTTATGATGTGCTATTTTTAAGGAAGCTTGGTACTCACAGTATCTGCTACGGATGATGACGGAACCGATCCGAATAACGTCATTTATTACACCATTGTTAGTGGAGATGATGGTAGGTTTCGTATTAACCCAAACAGTGGAGAAATATCTACAAGTGGCATCCTGGACTATGAATCAAAGACAAACTACAGCATGACAGTAATGGTTCAGGACAGAGGCTCCCCTGAACGTAATTCAACTGCACTAGTTGAAATTGGCATCATCAATGTCAATGATGAAATGCCAGTATTCGGAGCCAGCGATAAAACAGTTAGTGTTAATGAAAGCATCGCCTGGAACAGACACGTAGAAGACTTCAGCGCCACCGATGCCGACCCCGATAGTCTCCTGCAGTACACCATTACCCACGTGAGCGGCATCAACGAGGATCAGCAAACCGTTTCATCACAAGTACAGGTAAACGTATCACAGCGTCCGAGTTTGGTATCCCCGAAGTATACTGGACAAAATAAGTTAGGGATATTGATATTTTATGATTGATATGATATTAGTGTGTCAATGAATGAATAGATAATTATTCATAATTTCAAAATTTACATATATCCTTAACTATTTTTGTCCAGTATATTTCATTCTATGTCACGGCGGATTTACTTACTTTTAGCGAGTGTGTGAGATAGGTTTAAAGGTGCTTTGAATAAAGGCGACAAAATTCTTTCCACATTCATAAGAAATCCCTGCCAAAATTAGAGTCGATTGTACAACTGGGACTATATCATGAGCAGATATTTGTTTCAGCAGTATTTTACGGTTCTATTTAGGCAAGGCAGCTTATCTTGAGGAAGTGAGATGGGTTTAATTGCGCTGTGAATCGCATTTGAGTTATATGCGGGCGTATCGGCTTTACTGGAGTTGAGTGATTGAGACCTGCAGTTTGGTCCAAGGCTGTCGTGAACGGTATATTTAACTACAACCTCAAGCTTTATGGTTTAATTTGAGTACGTAGTTGGATTTGAATGGCCTTTCGGTTGCATCGAATAAATCTAAGTGAGTGAGTGACATGGGTTCAAAGCCTTAACATGATTTCATAGCTCAGTTTGAATGGTATCGCAGATACCAAACTGGAGTGAATAAATGGATCGGGATATAAGACTTCGGCTTATGTATACAAGATTGCTGTTGTTTGAATCTCATGGGACCAAATTCCCTTCTCGAGTCATCGTGTGTATTTATGAGACGAATTCGTGTAACCGGTGTTCAAATGCTGACAACTATAACAGGGAATGGTCGGGACCGACAGATACTTCGAGTTATGCATAATATTCGAGACACCGGCATTCGACTCATCGGGATTTTACTGTATGTCAGTTTTGGGGCGGTTGGGTAGCCTAGTGGTTAAACAAGCGTTCGCTCGTCACGCCGAAGACCCCGGTTCGATTCTCCACATGGGTACAATGTGTGAAGCCCATTTCTGGTATCCCCCGCAGTGATAATTCTGGAATATTGCTAGAAGCGGTGTAAAAACATACTCAGACAGTGATGCCGGTTTTAACAACATTCTATCAATATCATGGAGTGACGGGGGCCACTACGAATATATTTAACACTGTACCCCGTGAATGAGTAGAGATCATGCCATGCAGATCGTACACGTATACCACTTACGCACGAGTATGGTGCTTGTAATCTATTACTGTATGGGCTAGTCACGATTTCAGTGTACAATTGGGGGGTATCACAACACTTAATAGCTGGGGATATGATTCGTCACAGTCGGTCAATATCACACAAACCTATGGGGTTCCAAGGGTTCTAAAGGTGTTACGTAAACTGTAAAACATTGGCGATTATCAATGTGTGATGTGTCCCGTACCTCATTTGGAAAATAAATACAGTAATTGATCTAGAATACATTTGATAACACTTTACGAGATTTCTATAACTGTATTTGCAAGACATGCACACGATTGCATATTCGAATTTTTCCATTTTCTATCCTACCATCATGATCCAAATAAACACAACTTATGTCACGACAATAACATTTTAACTTTTGTTGTATAGAACTGGTTCCGGGTTAACAGTTCAACAGGTGAAATCACAGTATCAGACAAGATTGATCGTGAAACTGCTCAACAGGTCACTCTGAGTCTACAGGTGAACGACACAAATGCAAGCGTGGGACATCAACCGCAAAACGATGCAGGTTAGCTGAAGTCTCCCTGGATTCATGTAGTTCTCCAACATGCTTTACTGTCTCTTCGTAGTCGTAGAAAACTACGTAGAATGCCTCCCTTTCAGTACTTTAAACCAACATGACTATATCCAGTGTGCAAAATAGCCACTGGCGAAATAGCCCGTGGCGAGTAAAAATTCAGTCTGCCCTCCAAATCCCCACAGTCACTGGCTAGTGAAATTTCATGGGGTCATTTTATGTAATAATACACTTTTAAATCATGCAATATAATGGCCTGGTAGAAATGTTCATCGTGTTAGCAGCTTAATGATGAAACCAGTGTCATGCCGACAATATCTTAAGCTCATCATTTTGTGTAATCGTTTGCTTAGTTTCTATATTCATATTTCGGGCTAGTGAATTATGTTGTTGGCTAGTAGCTTTCAGGCATAGCTAGCCCGACTGGACAGCAAAACATGGAAACTATTTCGCACACTGACTATAGGTGGGATAAGGTACCACCTTTTATGATCCACTAACTAACGTTACGTTGAAGAATATACGTAAAGGGAAGTCCTGTTTGAACAACAACTGTCCTAATTCTACAGTAGCGAAGCCGCATCATTTCGGGCCTCCTAGCTGGGAAAGCCTATAGTCATGTATCCACTGTTAAGTGTGTCTCAATACGGAAATATTGCCCCATCCATGATCCGTTAAAAAGGTTACACAACACCAAATGCTTTCCCATAGACTTCTATAGTAACCTTATATTTTTTTAAATATCCAGGCTATCAACAGCCATTCCATGTACACATGGGTACACTCTAGCCTTTAAACTACCATAAAACAAAGTATCAGGCCAACTTGTCCGTCTCGTTTTGCGAGCACAGGAAGCGGAACACATCGACCCCAGTTCCGCACCAAATGTCACCTACTGGAAAATATCTGTACACACAATAAGCATAAGTGATAGTGATAAAAATGACAGCACTAAATACTTAAAATTGTGGTCAGTTTTAATTACTGGTTGGATGTGCTTTTAAAAAAACAAACATCTTACACTATTTCATCCAATCATAGCTGTTACATGTCTCTGTCTCTCTTCACTTGTTTACATACGGCTCTCACGCAGGACTGATTTAGTGTAGTGGAACCTACTGTAATGGACCTTAGTAGCTTCTGGAACAGTTTAGACTGGATTATCGTGTGTTGCGGTATCGATGTCATGAGGCTAACCTTCAGAAGTGTATGTAACAGAGAGCCTGTTTTTAAGCTAAATCCTGACAGACCCAGATGTGACCCCGCCTACACCAGCAGTGTGCGATATAGCCACTGACCCGCTAGCCCGTGGCTAGTAAAAATCCATGCGGGCCAGTAAAATCTCCTCAGTCACTGGCCCGACTGGATAGTGAATTTCCATGGCGTTTTTTTGTATATAACTGTCTCTGACTTGCTAAGATATAATTCTTTTTAAATCATGCAGCATTATGGCCTGATAAAAATATCATGATATTGGCAGCTTAATGGTGAAACCTGTGTCATGCCAACGATATCTTAAGCTCATCATTTGTGTAATCGTTTGCTTAGTTTCTATATTCATATTTCGGGCTAGTGAATTATGTTGTTGGCTAGTAGCTTTCAGGCATAGCTAGCCCGACTGGACAGCAAAACATGGAAACTATTTCGCACACTGACTGTAGGTGGGATAAGGTAGCTAGATTCAACTGTCGGGTTAGTGAATTATTTTGTGGGCTAGTAAAATTTGGAAACTATTTGGCACTGCTACACCACCTCCCCACCAGTGAAATTACAGTTGGATACATTCTCGAATTGTGGCTAACTATTATTACCATCTTTTTCATAATGCACACAATTTTAAACTCTATTTAAACTTTATTTTCTTATATTCCATAAGGAACTCTTGTCATCAATATACTTGACGCCGACGACAACGCCCCGACCTTCAACGACATCACCTACAATGCGTTTATAACAGAGAACATGGATCGGGGAACACCCATCACTTTCCGTACACCAGATTCTATGAACGTATCGGATCCCGACTTGGTAGGATTATGGTGTAAATTCACTTTCAGTTATTGTAAACAGAACCTGACCTCTGTCTTCTGTTTGGGGAGGTATCATAACCTATTTTCTGTGGGGTAGTCTAGTGGTTAAAGCGTTGGATCGTCACGACGAAGACCCGGGTTGGAATCCCCACATAGGTACAATGAGTAAAGCCCATTCCTGGTGTCCCCCGCCGTGATGTTGCTGGAATATTGCTAAAAGCGGCGTAAAACCAAACTCAGTCAGTCATTTTCTCTACTGACCTCTGAGGGTATTTAGTAGCTATGTGGATGATGACGTATGTTAGAGACGACAACAACGTCATTGCATCCATGATGCACCTATACAAGAATTATTCAGTTACGTTGAATGATAAACCAAAGAAAAATAAAATAAATAGAAATGTTTTTATAGGATTAAAGCAACTGTTTGCCTTCAAAAATTTACATACGTGAATATAAATGTTGGTAAACTTTAAACAATAAAGTAATAAGCCTTATCTAATGTGCAGAGGGACAACAGCTACCTGTCCTTGACCTTGTCTGGCCCTTATGCGGGATACTTCACCATATCCCCAAACACGGTGCAGTCGTCGGTTACTCTTTCAATCAGGGTAGACAACTCGTCCATACTGGACTATGAAAAGGAAAAGTCATTAACATTAACTGTAAGTACGCCAGAATCATATCTTTGAAAATCGGAATTTTACGTCACAGGAACCACTTCATATTGCTGTTTGAAAGTAATGTCCAGTAAAGTACTTAAGTGTTAAGATGATAACAGATTCAGTATTTAAACATGTGCTGACTAACGAAAATATTTATTAAAGCACAGCACCAAACACACATACCTAACGGATATTATGTAATGATCTGCCGTTTATGTAAAATTGTGATCAATCCTTACAGGTAGTTGCGAGTGAACCACGTGGCGACAATCACCTTGAGAGCAACTGTACCGTTACGTTATCTATACTCGACGCCAACGACAACGATCCGGAGTTCCTAAACGTCCCCTACACTGCTAGTGTTAGCGAGCACGCAGCAAACAACACTCCCGTATACAAAGTGAACGTGAGTGAGCCGAACAGTACACTTCTAATTCTCGTCATCGTGGACGTTGACCCGTAATTCGGAAATTAAACGAGACTTACCTGTAAATTGAAGTTTGATTGGAGTTCATGACTGGGCAGAATCAAAATTATGCGTCCATTTCAGTATCAGTTATTACTATGAGAAACTAACGGAGGACACGATGAACGAGTGAGTGAAAGATTAACGCCACCTCGGCAAAATTTTAGCCATATAGTGACACGATGAGTGATGTTTGCTGTATAATGTGAATCGGTATAATAACAGTGATATATATGCATATATCAAGTGAGTGACTGAGTTGAGTTTTACGCCGCACTCAGCAATATTCCAGCTCTATGGCGGCGGTCTGTAAATAAACGAGTCTGGACCAGACAATCCACTGATCAACAGCATGAACATCGATCTGCGTAATTGGGAACCGATGACATGTGTCAACCAAGCCAGCGAGCCTGACCACCCGATCCCGTTAGTCGCCTCTTACGAAAAGCATGGGTTACTAAAGGTTCATTCTAACCCGGACCTTCACGGGTCTGTATCAAGTTGGATGATGCAACCATTATATGTAGGTAAAAAGATTCACTTGCACTTTGATTGGGATCACTGCAAAGAAGAGTGTATACTCATTATATCGGTCACTGCTTTATGTAATACTTACTCTATTATCGACCGCGTCCCTTGGTTGGACTTGTCATGACTGAACAGTAGATAACAAACATTAAAATATCTCATAAAGTATGAAAGATCCAAGACGCTGCTATATATCATACCTTAATATGACTCATAGTTTAACAGTAACTGTTGGTTCTGTACGTTGTATCATCAATTGCAGGCTACCGATGTGGACACGGGACAAGGGGGTGATGTGACCTTCACCCTCCAAGGAGACCAGACATAGTGAGTTTAGACTTTTGCTTGAGACAGAATAACAACACACTCTATTTCAGAACACACAACACCGACAGATTTTTATTCACCCAGTTTTTCAAAATACTTTCAAACGTATTTAAGATAATTGTAATTGATTTGATCATTTAATCTTTCTAGAACTATAACAGAGTTTATGTTGACTTTTTCGATGACAAACGCGTTAAACAAACATGTCTGATGGTGTCATGATAATATTTGGACACGGGTTAGAAGGTATGACAAATATGGTTGTATGAAATGCGTGTCAATATTAATAATCATAACAACTTATATTTCTGACAAAATATGTTGTACAAAACAAGCAATGACGTCAAAACTGAAAGGCTGTGTCTTGAAAACAAAACAACGTCAACATAGGGCCAAACATGCTTTGATGTGACATCATGAGCTGCATCCGAATGACCATTTTCCATAAATGTCCAAATTGACTTGTGACCCAATACTTAGAAATATTACAAGTCAGGGCGTTTGTAATCTCTTTTCCATGTTTGTGGTGTATGTCAATCGAGATACATTCCGACACATACGTAAAATTCAGGACAAGACACTTCTGCAGTTGTGTTTGTATTGGGAATAAAACGTAAGAATAGATTGAGAATACTCACAGACCAAGGAATGCAAACATACAAATATTAGCTTTGCGATAATTCGGCTAAGTCAGGTAGTTCAGGCAGAAACTGTTATTTCAAATTTGAAACCTGCGAATGATAAATCGGATGAGTCTATTTCTGAAAATCATGGTGGGAATTGGTTAAAATCTCATAATTGATGATTGGTTCATTACTACCGATCAATCATCGAAAATAATTGGTTAGTGTCATTTATGAAATTTGTTAATGCGCTTAAAATAAGGGAAAAAACATGTAGTTCTTTTGGGGTGTTTTGGCAAAATTTCACATCTTTAAAGGATGACTAGGATGTTAGGAACATAAATTTCCTGGAATCTTTAAGATAAATTCAATCATGACTTGAAATGAGCTTAGTGCTTACGAAATGTAAGAGACAAAACCAACCATGTGAAAAATATTGTTTATGAAAACAAGTGTTCCAGAATTGTTTGTGTTCGATTATGAGAAATTATGATCGATTGTTTGGCCGTTTAGTCACTACGACCAATCTTCGATTATTTCAATTAATCGGAACACCACTAGTAGTATGGCTTCCATTGCATCCGTCCAGCTTCAGCATAGACACCATCAGTGGCCAGGTATACACGAAAGGGAAGGGCCTGGACAGAGAGAGAACCGACACCTACTTCCTGACGGTGCAAGCAACCGACGGCGGAGGGCGACGGCAGACAACATTGCTCACTGTTAACATCACCGACTACAACGATGAGGTGCCAATCTTTAAGAGAGACTACTACGACGGTAACCTCATTGACGGACAAGATGCATTTACCAGGCCAATTATTGTGGAGGTAAGTCTATCCCATTGACATAATCAGGAACATGAGATCCGCAAAATGTCAGCTTTTGCTTAGACGTGTATATTCTGCTTATGTCTCATTTACTGTACTTACCATTTTCATTTTTTGTTAAAGGTTAAGTATTTTGCCAACGAAAAATAAATCTTGGATAGTCATGTCATGTAACCAATAATCTTAACATACATTCAGTAAGTACTAGTAAGTTTCAAGCGAAAGTTACCGAATCCTTTCCTAAATGATACTTAACATCGTTTAATGTAAATGTAACCACAAACACATTTTAGCATCAAACATTAACTCTGTACGGATTCCGACTCAGTATTTTGGGCCTCATTAACCTACGGATGTCATTTCAAGGCTTGCAACGTTCACAACATAGCGGTGCTGAGGGCCCGGCTTGCTGACTCTTTGATTATATGTAATCATGTCAAGATCCGGGTTAGAATTGATCTTCAGCAACCCATGCTTGTCGTAAGAGGCGACTAACGGGATCGAGTGGTCAGGCCGACTTAATTGATGCATGGCATCGTATCCCAATTGCGAAGATCGATGCTCATGATTTCAATCACTGGGTTGCCTGGTACAGACTCGATCTTTTAAAGACCACCGCCGTGTGGCTGGGGTATTGCTGAATGCGGCGTAACACAATACAGAAACAAACAAAATCATGTTACGCATGAGTATAGTTCCTCATAAGACCAGTCACTATATTTCCTATACTACATTTTCTTATTTATACGCCGACGTAAAAACAACAACTGAAATATTGTTGAATGTGACGTGAGACATAAAAACCAAAGCCTTTCAAACCACACATTCGTTTCAATCATACAATACAATAAGGCATTATAATGTGGTTCTACCCCAGGCTAGTGATGACGACGAAAGCAATACACCAAACAGCGAAGTCCGGTACAGCATAACCAGCTGGCCAGTGGGTCTTCAGAACAACTTTACCGTGGATCCGGTGTCAGGGGTGATGACCGTGAATGGTTTGTTTGACTACGAGAGCCTTGATGCCAGTATCAGCGATACTCTAACCTTCAACCTAACAGCGTCGGACCAAGGCTCTCCAGTTCTGTCATCAAGTGTGGTTGTCAACATCTCAATCCAGGTACAGCGCTCATTATCTTGTCGCTCAGTATTTACGCACACTGAATTTGTATGTGGCATTCTTCATCTATATCAATTATAAACCAGTTGCTATATTTTGGTAGTTATTAGGTATATAATTGGATCGCATGGCCAGGTTGAGTCAATAAAGATAAAATATACTTGAGCCCGGGCTGAGGGTAATAAAAACTGACAAAACATTATAAACTTAACCCGGATTCGTTTTTGTAGTATGTTGTATCGGGTCTGGGAGAGATACATTGTATTTGACACTTTTTATACACTGAAATCAAAATGCTAATTGACTATGTATCTCATTTACTTACTTCAGGATACTAATGACTTCTCTCCGGAATTCGATTCACCAATATATACAGCAAGCGTTAGAGAAGATATTGGCCAAGGTGATTATTTCGATATACCGATTCTCGTTTTCGATTGATCGTGTCAGTCGGTGATACTTTATGGTGCCCAAAATATTTGTTGGCAAATATGACAGTGCTGTGTGTTCTGCCTTCCTGTTGTGTCACACGACGGTGATGTCGACATGAATAAGAACGTAGTTCATTGTTGAGTACAGAAGAGTATGATAATGACAATTGTAATCCAACACGCAAAAACTGTTAAATGCACTTCTGTTATTGGTGCATTCAAATGAAACCTTGAATGATAATTGGTTAATTTTCACAAGAACATGTTAGAAATGAGATTGGAATGAAATACTCAGGCTCTGTCTTCCGTGTCCTCCAGGGCAAAAGATAACCAGAGTTGGTGCCACAGACGGCGACAGAACGTCTCCAAATAAGGACATTTTCTACTTGATTGACAGCGGAGGATTAGGGAAATTTCGAATAGACAGCTCTTCTGGTGATATCCTACGTGCTGGTGAGCTAGATCGCGAGAGTGAGGCTTACTACAGTCTCATCGTGGTTGCCATGGACAGAGGAACTCCATCTCTGTCCAGTTCTTCTGTTGTCAACATCAGCGTCACAGATGTCAATGATGTGGGTCCGGTATTTAACTCCTCATCTTTGTCTGTGGACGTCAACGAGACAACATTAACACATGTGCTTTTTACCGCGTTCGATCCCGATTTAGACGCTAACCTGACCTATTCCATTGACTGGACAAAGAGCTACGGAGTGGATGGAGAACAGAATCGAACCAGTTCTGCAGAGCTCAAGGTAAATAGTAATTACTAATCTTGTATAGATTACATTAACATCTTTATGGTCGGATACACGTTTATCTGTGGTTCGTTAGAAAATGTGCATATGGCTTTGGTTCACCATTAAGTGCTCAGGGCGGTGGGGTAGCCTAGCGGTTAAAGCGTTCGCTCGTCACGACGGGTTCGATTCCGCACATGGTAAAATGTGTGAAGCCCATTTCTGCTATCTTCCGCCATAATATTGCTAGAATATTGCTAAAAAAATTACTCACTCACCAATTACATGTAAGATTTCATGTAAGATGTGTAATTGTACTTTGTTTACGTTCACAAGGAAAGATACGTATTTGAGTTTAGTTCACCATTTCAAAGCTCCAGCTGCAGCTAGGTTGTATGTTTGTTGTTCACATTACAACGTACAAAGCAGGATGTTTTATCTTTATGCATGTACTGTTCAGCATTTAACAATGGTACAATCTGTAAAAGATTATGTCTTCTGTTAATGTCTAGTCTGTGATCAGCATTGAAGAGCTCACTGGAGAAGTGGTGATTAGTAGTAACCTTGACCGCGAACGCATGGAGTTAGTGACGTTGGTCATCGGCGTTAGGGATGAGAATGGTACTACTGGACAGACAGCTACAGGTAGGCCACTGTGTACAAGTCTCCCCCCTCTATCTATCTATCTATCTATCTATCTATCTATCTATCTATCTATCTATCTATCCATCCATCCATCAACTGGTTCCCCTTAACTGAGGTATTTCTGTGTATTTTAGGGACCCTGAACATCAATGTAGTCGACGTAGATGACAATATGCCGCAGTTCAACAACGACACATTTGTTGCCGATATCAGAGAGAATATGGCAACTGGAATCCCAATCAGTTTCAAGGTTCCTTCCAGCATGACCGTCTCTGATAAAGACCAGGTAACAACAGGGAATACGTCTCACATTAATGGCCATCATACCCGTTACGGAGGGAAGACTATATAAGGATAGAAAATGCATTCAAAGTTGAAATTGGGAAAAGGTAGTAATAAGTCCCACTTTCACATTTACTGACTCTATTCTAGTTACTTTACTTCATGATGACATTTATATCACATTAGCACCTGGCATGACAATACCAAATCATGACTACAAAGCAGTAATGAAAGAAATATTTTATTTCTTCATATTTGATGATATTTCAAAGGCGGATACATCGTCTTTAAAAACATGTCATTCCTGAATGAAGAGCCTTTGGTGTTACATGTCCCTCTCATTATGTTCTGTCTTCATATAGTGGTTATGTAAGGCAGTACGTAATACGTATTATAAACAATTGGCATTTCCAGTCATATCAATGTGTTTCAGGGTGAGAACAGCTGGTTTGAGCTGAGCCTAGGGGGCAGTACCGACTTCACACCGGTGCCCAAGTTGGTCAGGTCATCTGCTACTGTGCTGATCACGGTCACAAATCCGGATATCTTGGACTACGAACTGAGACATTCTGTCAATTTTACTGTAAGAACTCCATCAATTCACTGTTAAATTAAGTTTTGTCTTTATAGTAGTGACACACTTACATCATTTATATTGCCCTTGCATATGCCAAATAGGGTAGCAGTACTGGTGTATATTCACATATTCATCTTGTACATGTCTTGGATTGTGGTGATACTGGTTGTATGATTATAAAATTCCTCTTGTAGTCATATCGTCAATGTATGTAAGAAACTGAACTTCGAACTATAATTTAGTAAGCCTGAAAGTCGGGAAATAACCTGGTGAGGATTAATTTGAAGTCATCGTTCACGACCTCATCAATTAACTTGTAACTTCGTATCTTTCTAAAAAAAGTGCGGTTATTATTTTTTTGCGTGAATGCTATTGCTTCATAATTCGTTAAGTCCAAATATCGTTCAATTATTTGTTTCGTCAGATTATGGCGAAAGAGCAGTATGGGAACGGCTTCAATACAACAGCGTTTGTTCAACTAAGTATTCTTGACGTCAACGACAACGATCCAAAGTTCGTAAAACCTGAATACTCAGCCGAGATTCGTGAAGATAAAACCAATGGCACAAGCGTCGTTAATGTCACAGTAAGTTGGAGTTGAACATGAATTATTTTACGCAACGGTACATTAAAGGTTAGTTGCTCACCTTCGTAAAACACATGCACTGTTTGGCGATCCTACAGCTTCAGATGGTTCTGAAAAGACCATATAGACTACCTCATTCTGAAGAGTAGGAATTGGTTTTCAGCTACCTATGCTTGTCGTAAGAGGCGACCTACGGGATCGGGTGGTCAGGTCCACTTACTTGGTTGACACCAGTGGTGGTCCGATTAATTGAAATTATCGAAGATTGGTCGTAGTGACTAAACGGCCAAGCAATCCATCATAATTTTTCATAATCGAATACAAACAATTCTGGAACGCTTGTTTTCATTAACAATATTTTTCACATGGTTGGTTTTGTCTGTTATATTTCGGAAGCACTACAAGCTCGTTTCAAGTCATGATTGAATTTATCTTAAAGATTCCAGGAAATTAATGTTCCTAACATACTAGTCATCCTTTAAAGATATGAAATTTTTCCAAAACACCCCAAAAGAACTACATGGGTTTTTTTCCTTATTTTTAAGCGCATTAACAAATTTCATAAATGACACTAACCAATTATTTTCGATGATTGATCGGTAGTTATGAACCAATCATCAATTATGAGATTTTAACCAATTCCCAACACTAGTTGACACACGTTATCCCCATTGGGTACATCGATCGTCATGATTTTGATCACTGGAATGCCTGGTCCACACTCGATTTTTTTACAGACCACCGTTAAATTGCTGGAATATTGCCGTGTGCGGCGTTATACATGAACTCAAGTGATCGTTGCAGTATATGTTTACAGACATTCATTTGTAATGCCAAAGAACCATGTCAGTGAACCTTTCCTGTACAAAGACCAATATCCAAAAAAGTTCCAAACTTTGGTCTCTTCATTTTACAACTGTTCAGCATCGAGCATGCTCTTTCTATGATGATCTCAAAGCACTTGATAGGGCCTTTGATAATGTTTACAACATTCAAGTCCTATGTAAAGCTGTCATTCACATGTTAGATGCAAATTTTGGCGCACCGACCACAATGACCGGAGTATGTTTTCGAGTTTGCTCGGCTTCCTTAGCGACAAGTAACGTAGGCACGAGGAGGATGATACGCATAACTTTTCGAAAACACTTGGTATCACTGTTATTTCAGAGTGAATCATAAACACCAGCTTTATATGTATTTGGTATTTAGACATTGCATTTAGCTTACACAGAGATGTCGCTATCTTACATTCGTTTATTCATTCTTATATTCATTGCGTATATTCATCATTCATTATACGGTTATTCATTATTCATTCATATATCGACCATTCAGTGTACATTTTATTATAATATAACTCATTCATTCTTATTCGCTTTCCTGTTCCTGTTTGGCATAGGCGACTGATAACGACTCAGCCATATTTGGTATGGGAACGTATACTCTACAAGGAGGACAAAATCTGTAAGTATTTTAGCATTTGTATTTTCGAACAACAAACTGTACTTCTGCGAACCTCTGTTTTGTGTCAACCAATGTTTCAAGACTGGTTGTTCCCTGGCTTTGACTTTGTAAGTGAGTGAGTGAGTTTAGTTTTACGCCGCACTCAGCAATTATCCAGCTATATGGCGTCGGTCTGTAAATAATCGATCCTGGACCAGACAATCCAGTGATCAACAGCAAGAGCATCGATCTGCGCAATTGGGAACCGTTGACATGTGTCAACCGAGTCAGCGACCCTGACCACCCGATCCCGTTAGTCGCATTTTACGACAAGCATAGTCTCCTTTTAAGACAAGCATGGGTTGCTGAAGATCTATTCTACCCCGGATCTTCAGGGGTCCTTTAACGTTGTATATTTAAGTGGGTTAGGAGTGAGAGCTGATATGCAACATTTATGACGGGTTATTTTGTTAACAATTTTAATATAGTTTCGACATAAACAATATCACGGGCGAGGTGACGGTGGCCAGTCACCTGGACCGAGAGCGCCAGTCTCAGTACTTCCTAACCGTGGTCGCCACCGACAAAGGCGGACGTCGTTCAACTGTGCAGCTGACTGTCAACGTCACCGACTACAACGACAACGCTCCTGTGTTCACCAGGGACGCATACGACGCTGTGCTGAACGAAAACTCCATAGCGTTTGGCAAGACTGTAAAAGTGCAGGTATTGTTAAGTAGTTGTTCTAAAAGACCAACATATCACATGTCACCTTAGCTTAAACTAACGTACCTTTATCTCGGCAAACTTCTTCTCCATTGCTCTACACAACGTCAATTTAAACAGTAAATTGACGGTGTTCAGAGCGATGTAATTACGCTTTATGAATTTCCAAAAAGGGTAGCAGGGTTTGTATATTTTTATTGAGTCGGTTTATAATGTTCGGTATATATTTTTTTATACGACAAGTAATATTTTTACAATGAATTTGTCTGCACGTCTTTGCTTTATTTTTAAAGGATTTAAATTATTATCAATATTAAATCTGTCTCAATTCAAAATATACACATTAATCTTTATGTTATGTCCCTCACGAGATTTAATAAAGTATGCTTTTTTAATATTTGATATTTCCATGGGAGTTAGGTGATATGAATGTGTCGACAGTATAATTAGGAGATCCGGGGAAATGTGCTTACAAGACACAAGGTTAACAGATGACCTATTCCTTGTTCATACAGGCTACAGACCTCGATGAAGGTACCAACGGTGAAATACGATTCTCACTCTACCCTTCAACGTATAGTTCCAATTTTACTATCAACGACACTTCGGGGGAGATATCTCCAAGATCGGCGTTGGACTACGAACTCCTGAACCGCTCGATCGGTGGTCTAATCGAACTCCTTGTGGTTGCCACGGATCGTGGTAACCCCGCCTTGTCATCTAATGTGACACTGTCTATTCAGGTTCAAGTAAGTTAATCATAGTTTAGCAACTTTCTGTTTTAAACTGTGATTTAATACATGCGGCATGAGAAATCCAAGTCAGGGCCCTGTTCCTCAAAGCGATCGTAGCGCTACGACTGTCGTAAGTCTATGTTAAAGTATGGGAGTTACGATCATCTTAGGGTTACGATCGCTTTGAGGAACGGGGCCCTGAACAAGTCTAAGGGGCGTTGGGGTAGCCTAGTGGCTAAAGCGTTCGCTCGTCACGCCGAAGATCCGGGTTCGATTCCCTACATGGGTACAATGTGTGAAGCCAATTTCAGGTGTCCTCCACCGTGATATTGCTGGAATATTGCTAACAGCAGCGCAAAACCATACTCACTCACTCAGAACAATTCTAAACAATACCGTTGTTCATAGTTTCTGGTCCAAGGTTGACTGTAAAAAAATTATCATTCACCTGAGAGTGAGTCAGTGAGAATCGTTTTACGCAGCTTTTAGCAGGGAACACCAAATATGAGCTTGACACGTTGTACCCATATGGGGAATCGAACTCGGGTATTCAGCGTGACGAGCGAACGCTTTAACCATTAGGCTACCCAACCGCCCCATTCCCACGTGAATACAATCAGGTGCTCCCTGTGTACTGCCGAAAAAAGCTAAGACATCTTTTGAGGACAATATATCAAAATTTCCCTCGATGTCATATAGGTAGAATATTCTGGATAAATACTTATATACGTAATTTTGTCTATGGTGAATTGGGTGAGTGAGTGAGGTTTTTAACAACGTTTAGAACAGTATTGATGTTATATCACGGCATGACAGCCTTATGTGATGAAGGCAGCCCGAATTAATGCAGGTCTCTGGCGAAACTCACGATGAACCCAGAAACATAATCTAGATGGACTGGGATTCGACCCCACTACCACAGGTGCGCAAACCGCCTTGGACAATTGGACCACCCAGTTGGCAACATGGCGACATACAAATGACTAATGTGAAATAGAGTAAATTCGAGTTAAACGTGACATCTTCATTTTTTCCGGGATCTTGGTATTTTGAGGATATAGGAAATGTTAGAAAAAGGCTACGGGATCTAACACAATCCTTGAGTTTAACCAGGACCTGTACACATTCAAGTTAAAAAATTGAAATAGAAAAGATACTTGCATCGCGATTTATATACATCGTTATGTCTTAAGAGAAAAGCAACTGACCTACCTGACTATGACATGTCTTATTCCAGGATCGGAATGACAACGCACCTGAATTTGTCAAATCCTCGTACAGGTACAATATCACGGAAAACTCAGTAAGTTACTCAAACATTAGTAATGTTACGTTTCCGTCATTATATCGTCTTCGTATATTGTGTGTGTAGGTGAGCGTTTCTTGTCAAAGCATAATACGACTATCTTCATTTACATTGTGTGTCGTTTGTGCAATTGAGCTCTGGAATATATTCTAGCAATATCACGACAATGAAAACAGAAATTGGTTTAACGCATGATTGGGCTTGTCTTCCATGTTGGGAATAAAACCTGGATCTTTAGAGTTATGAGCAAACGCTTTAACAAGTCGGCTACCAATTGCCCACTTTTACTTTGAAACTATATAATATATAGAAACTTCAAACATTATTACATGTCTTAAAAGAATAATTCCTGAAATGAAATTGGGAATTATATCAATATACACTCATTCATTTACAACCTCCAAACCATGAATTCTGATCGAAATTAAACTTTTCGCCCATGGGCCAACATATTTTTCGCCCATGGGCGAGATGTTTAAATATCGTTCTAAGTTAGTCGAATTAAGTCAAAATGAGTTGAAATTTGTGTCATGATGCTTATAAACATACACTCATTCATTTACAACCTCCGAAACATGAATTCTTAGCAAAGTTAAACATTCTCGCCCATGGGCCACTGTTCGCCGATGGGCCGGCCCATGGCGAGCGAGTTTAAATTTAAAGTTTTCGAAAAAACTTTTTATCATTTTTTCATCCTTGGCATATATTCATAACAACTGCATGTTTAATTTGGTCAAATCCCTTGTCAGAAAGTGCCCACAGTGCGGAGAGTTTCGGGACTTTTGTGAGTCCAGAATTAAATTGTGACGTGTTATAACATGCTTTGTTTTTATTAATTTCTTAGAATTGTCTGCAGTTCTCAACACTATTTATGACATTTGATATCTTATGATCCAAACGTTTCATCTAGGTTCGCAAGTTGGCAATGTTCTCGCACAAGATGGAGATGGCAGCCAACCAAACAATGACATATTCTATCTGATCCAGAGTGGGAGTTCAGATAAATTTACCATTGACAGTGGGTCGGGGACATTGTCACCAGTGGGAGTCTGGACCGCGAAACAGAGGCTCAGTACAACCTCACTGTGGTTGCTATAGACAGGGGCAACCCTCCCTTATCAGGAACGGCGACCGTGACAGTGAACATCATCAACATCAATGATGAAACACCGGTGTTTACACAATCTTCAGTCACTCTTAGCGTTGCTGAGAACAAGGGTGTCAGTCAAGTGCTGCATACCTTGTCTGCTCAGGATGATGACGAGGATGCTTCGCTGAACTATACTATTGTCTGGAGCGAAAGTGAAGCATTTGACGACAAACAAGCCTCTCTCAACACGTCTTTCTTAAAGGTATCTTAATGCTTTTAGAATATTATATAACTCTTATTTGCTTCACGATACCATAATTCGGTATGATGTTTCACTGTGCACTGCATGCAGCAATATCGTAGAGGAATACAACCAAGATACCATTCTGGATGATACATGAAGTCATTATGGAAAGATAATTGTTGTCCCATGAAATGGGTATTGAGTATGAACATTTTATGATATGTGAGGAGAGATGCTATTTTCTTTGTCTCTTCGAATGGGGTAGCCTAGAGGTAGCCTAGAGGTAGCCTCGAAGACCAGGGTTCGAAACACCGCATGGGTACAACGTATGAAGCCTACTTCCGTGTCCGCCGCTGTTGTGTTGCTTGGATATTGCTGAAACTGGCGTAGAACCAAACTCACTCTCTGCAAAAGAATAACCATATTAATCATGTCACTCTGCAAATGAAACCTGCGAAATAGTTTCCAAATTTTGCTAGCCAGTCGGGCTAGCTATGCCAGAAAGTTACTAGCCCACAAAATAATTCACTAGCCCGAAATATGAATGTAGAAATTAAGCAAACGATTAAAACAATTGATGAGAATACGATATTGTCGGCATTTCATTGGTTTCATCATTAAGCTGCTAATATGATGAACATTTATATCAGGCCATAATATTACATGGTTTAAAATGAATTATATTTTAGCAAGTCAGAGACAGTGATATATTTACAAAATGAGGCCATGTAAATTCACTAGCCAGTCGGGTCAGTGACTGTGGAAATTTATTGGCCCGCCTGTATTTTCACAAGCCACGGGCTAGCGGGCCAGTGGCTATTTCGCACACTGTTATGTCGTCTTTACAATTATGTCTGTCTTCGTGTAGGATCTCCTCAGCGTGGATTCTAGCACTGGATCAATCATTCTGAAGCAAACCCTGGACAGAGAGACAGTGGAAACTATCAAACTCGCCATGTATGTGGAAGACGAAAATGCACAAGACCCTTCTCCACAGACTGCCACAGGTATACTCTTCAACTGGAGTGAGTGTGTTGGGTTCAGTTTCGCCTTAAACGCTACGTTCTATCGCTACGGGTCACCTTGATGTAACACAGGTCATCCACTAGAAATGATGGCACCACAGTCCAAACATCATTACTAGGAATCTGATATCGAACCCCTAATTGGAATATCCTGACATTAAACAGAAACAACAAATTCGCCACAGGTGCACAACACTAACATATTTTTGAGAATTGCAGACTGTAAAACCATTTCGAATGCCAAACATACTATTGCTCTCCGATAGTGTCTACACAGAAAGACACAGACTTAGCTCTTTATCTTGGTCTTTTTATCCTCTTTCATTATTTTACATAGCGACCATCACCTTCATCGTCCTTGATGAAAATGACAACGACCCGAAGTTCGACAGCAGTATCGTGAATGCAAACATCGACGAAAACGCTCAGCCTGGGACACCCATAAGTTTCAGTCAGTCTTTGGCTCTTGGAGTCAGTGACCTTGACAAGGTGAAATACCCATTTCATTCGCATGCGTTTATATAGCCACCACATTCTTAATAAATTGAATTTTTTTAAATTCCCCAATTCGCTAAATGAACCTTTTATTGAGACTCAATCAAATACCATGGGGATGATGAAAATAGTATTCCAAATGTAAAATTTGAAAGGTAAATGAAAGGATAAAATCACGAGATATAATTATTTAATGAATTGGACGCTCATTGATGAATCCACATGCATGAAGTGTGACTTGTATTTGTATTAATTGTATCAAGCATCTTTTTTGATGTCACCAAGGTTTAAACTATGAGCAGATGTATAAACACTACCCCACTATCACGCTGAAGACATGTGATTCCTGATCATCTTGACATATACCGTTGATGTTGAACATGGGTGACGTCTTTTTCAGGGACGTAAACAGTGTCTTCAACCTGAGCTTGTCTGCATACACTGACAATTTTGAACTGGTCCCCGTGCTGGTCAGATCATCAGCCTCGGTACTCGTGAGGGTCAAGAACAACACCATACTGGACTACGAGAAAAGAAGCAATATATCATTCTCTGTAAGTGTAGCACGAGTTTCCGCGTGATTCAGTTCTGTTGCACGTTGGCTTTTAGCAATTGCTGCAATAGTTCAGGGCTGGGAATACCAGAAGTTGGATTTACACAACATACCTGTATCGAGACCTCCAGGTGACGAGCAAATGCTTTTAGGGCTGAGATAACCTATGAAACCAGTACCTATTCATCTAACTCTAAATTGTGTACTAGTATTTATTTATGTTTTCCTATTCTAGTGGAAAGTACTGTTTGATAGTACAGTGTGGTTATGTTTCTGGTTGCATCTTGGCAATGAGTGTCTCACAGCAAATATGAGTTGCTGAAGATTAATTCTAACCCGAGTTTGCACAGTTTTAAGTGAGATTATCGCATACGTTTTAAGTCCCCAATCAGGACAAGATCACGATCACTCTCAAAGGAACCGTAGGAAACTATAATTATCTATAATAATATTGATAGGGGAAAGGATTGATCAGTGGTTAAGGGTGCCGGAAGTCGCTATGCAGAGTTATGTCCCTTAGTCTTAGCTGAATTCGTTATTTGTCAGTTTCATGAGATCAGTACCGTAATATCTCATCACACCACAACCAGCTGTACTCGCCTGAAATCACATTAGATTAACTCATATTTTTAGCTTACACGTCGTCCTTAATTCAGTCCAACTCACTCTTTGTACGTAGATCATTGCCATGGAGACCGAGACATCAGAGCACCTAAGTAGTAGTGCACAAGTTACTCTTGTCATCAATGACGTCAACGACCATGATCCTGACTTTGGTTTACCATCATACACAGCCAACGTTACAGAAAACAGCCCCAACGGAACCAGTGTCCTTCTGATAACTGTGAGTAGGACAGACATCTGCTCACGCTCCTCAACTAGGTACATCGTGGGAGATTGGTGTCACTCACCTCTCATACCAATACCACCATGTATCTTTGATTGAACCAATGGTGGTGTGTGTTCATGTGCATATAGGTCGCAAGGTCGCAAGTCGGAATATTGCTCGACATGAAAGGGAGGTTGACTATTGGAAAGTTGAAATCAGCCCTTTTATCATACGGCCTAGTGGAGAGTTTTTTGTCACTCTGAATCTTGGGCAAGGAGAGTCATTGGATGGGTGACCTTGTTTGGCAGCTTGACTCCTGAGACTTTCTAGGACTTCAGTCCTGCCCACAACGGAGCATATTAGATACATTGGTCTCACCTTAGGCAAGTGAGTTTGTTCCAAATTGCCTCTTTTCAAACAGCTGAAAATGGGTACCCGGTTGGATAAGTCATGTGGCCTTGGGATACCCGAGTAGTAATATCTATGAACTCTGTTAGCGATTTGGGCACACTTTGGTGGAATTTGGAGTTTTTTGTGGAGTTTGGTGAAATATAAAAATGTACATTATTATTATTATTATTATTATTATTATTATTTACCAAATGAATGTAAATGAAGTTTACACAATGACTTTAAATCATAAACAGAAACACTGTTTCCAAATCATGTAATTTCGTCATTTTCTTCTTTGATCAGAATCGAGTATTGTCACAATAATACATTCTTATCAGTTTTTGTAATGGCCTGTGTATGGCACAGTACCTTTTAACAACGATAGATGTTGTGGACGATACCGCGTGTTTGTCACATGATATGAATGAACATTTACATCTTGTAGATACAAAACATTTCTTTGGCAGGCGACTGATGCTGATTCAAGTAAATATGGCATGGGCACATATTCCTTCCAGCGAGGAGAAGACAAGTACGTTGTTTCGACTATTTCCGAGGACCAATACAACGTTATGACATGCCTTGCTACTGACAATTATCTATTTGGGATTATGGTACAATATAAAGCCTCAAGTATCCAGCGTTGAAGGGGACGAGGCTGATTTGTGATCGATACTGACACTTCTGTTTTAAACGATGCTTACGATGCTCGATTGACATAATGATAAAGTTTAATGTGTTGTATTAAAATTAACCGAATGGTTTTTTTATATGCATGCACAGTAACTGGCAACTCCGCTCCACTGCACACCGCATATGAAGTATGTGCCACATTAACTTGGTGCGCCAAAATGCCAGAGAGTTGAAATTGAAAATACGATGTGTCGTTCAGATTGAAATCCAATGATCAGGGAAAAACAAAGCGCCCTTAAGCAGCTGAGCTTGATATTTGGTCAATACAAATATTAGTATGCATTAATATTAGTATGTATGTATGTATGTATGTATGTATGTATGTATGTATGTATGTATGTATGTATGTATGTATGTGTATGTATGTATGTATGTATGTATGTATGTATGTATGTATGTATGTATGTATGTATGTATTCATTAGTACGCATGCATGCATGTATGTATTTCTATCAAAATGTAGCATGCATACTCACATGAAATTATGGTATTACATTTTCACGAAAAAGACTCCTAATGTAATACAAACAGTTTTATCGAAATTTATTCTCCAACGATGATGATGTTTACAGGTTTGCAATCAATGCTACGAGTGGCGAGGTGTATGTAACGGGACCTCTAGATCGAGAAACAAAGTCTCAATACTCAATCACAGTGCAGGCCACGGATCTGGGACAGAGGACCCAGTCGGTCGCCCTGACTATCAACATCACTGACAGGAATGATGAAACTCCAAGGTTTCAAAGAAATGATTACTCAGCAGTTTTGGTAGAGAACAGCAATGCGTTTATTAGACCGCTACAAGTACAGGTAGGAATCCATAATTCATCCATCGGATGAAAGTTTGGTGCAGTAGTCTGTTTCTAATGTACCTTTGAAAATACCGAACACCATACAAATTGTTGCTTTGATTCAAACCGATGATAAATAGCTGGAATATTAAGCGCGGCGTTAAACAACAAAAACAAACAAACAAACAAACGTAGCCGTCGAACAGCGATGTCACAAACGGTTTAATTGTAAGTGTAACAAAGACACAAGATACAGTTTTATTCAATTGATGGTTTATTTTGCGAGATAAAAATAAATTGATTTGCATATAGAAATGCAAACATCATGAAAAACGTCAGCGAATGATAAGTCTTGATTATCTTGGAACTTGTGCTTTTTTGTGAGATGCCGGTATGGATATTGTCACATTATCACAATGTATTAGAAGTAGTTTGGATTTTGTATAATCCCAATTCATTTCCATCACACAAGTGCTTATTCTGGGGTATAAGGTCCACGTACCCCCTGCTTGTCGTATTACTAATTACATTAAAACTGTCGGGGCGGTGGGGTAGCTTAAACTGTCTCTTGGGTTGATCTGCTACCATTGTGTTGTGGATCTAAAAGCGATTCTTGCAATAATTAATGTCTCTTGGCACGGACTTGACGGGTTATAGGAAACGACGGGTTAAAACGTGTAATGCAGTAGTAATATTGCATACCATACATTTCAATCAGTCTTGAAATAACAGAGCATCGTGTTTTTCGTAGGCAACTGATGATGATAAGCCCAACACAGCAAACAGCCGTGTCGTCTACAGTATCATCTCAGCATTTCCCAATCTGGACTCCAATTTTAGTGTCAATCCTTCGTCAGGGTTGATTCAACCTGTCACACCCATTGACTATGACACGTTGAGTAATCATTCAATTGTCCTGGTTGTCGTCGCTGCTGATGAGGGAGTGACGCCAAAGTCCTCCAACGTCACTGTCTCCATCACTCTTGAGGTAGGTCCAGTTAACAGCATTAGCGTAATTTATAACGTTAAAGTTAACGCCAGGGAAAAAACAGTTTCAATTTTTTTTTTCAGTTGCATTTGGAAGTAAAATATTGAACAAACTTTATGGATAACAAAAAATCTTTATTTCGTGAGTGCGACGTTTCGTTACATTCTCGATTATTTGCCAAAACAAATTTCCTTCGACATGAAAGACAAAATAACGATGAAATTAACACAATAAGCATTGTTTGTGATATTGACAATGCTAACGTCCTCTTATAGATGTCGACATATATTTAATCTTTATAACATCATTTCGTGTGGGATTTATTGCAGGACATAAACGACAACAGTCCAACGTTCACGAAGCCTGCTTACGGGTCATCTATATCTGAAGCTAGCGGTCTTGGTAAGATTAGAGATTGATTGTCCCAAATGACAGTCTATACCAAGCTATAAACCTTACTATATGTTATTACTTTACAGTTCAATGTAATCCAGGTAAGTCTTTGAGCAACTGCAGATTGCGTTCATGACTGAAACGAATGTTCCCTTTGCTCCGCTTCTATACTCAACCCTTTCCAAACTTTCGCAGAACCAATTTCCAGGGCGTCTGTAGATGCACTTCTGACAAGGTAAACCAACTCCTGCTTGTCTTAGCTTGCTTATGCAGTGTTAGTATCGCCCTCCATTCTACCCCCAACCAATGCTACGTTCAGACAAAAAGCAAAGGATGTTGTTAACCCTTTTCTATTACAACTCCAAATTTGTTATACTTTAACATTTTAAACCTTAACCTGGCACTTAATGAACACCGCCAGTTACAAAAATCCCTTAGAAATATAACGTATTAAAAAGATAATGGCATAATAATTGTATTAACGTACGTTTCTCACCGTTAATTCAATCGAACAACATTCTCGGCTCTAATCATATAAACACTGTTCTTGCGAGGTATGTGCTTGGTCTGTATCACGTGTACGTCTTGTCTTGTTCCTCCTCAACTAAACATTACTCTGTTACAGCAACAAATGGTCATATAATATACGTCTTCTTACAGAGCGAATATATTCTTTCATCCCCAGATGCGCCTGTCGTTACTGTTACTGCAACTGATGCTGACGGAAGTAAACCCAACAATCAGGTCTTCTACCTCATAGAAAGTGGCGCCTCTGACGCGTTTAAAATCAATGGCACATCAGGGGAGATAACTGTTGCTGGTGATTTGGATAGAGAAAATCGCAAAATACACTCTTCTGGTAAAGGCCATGGACAGAGGGTCCCCGGTTCTCTCTTCGTTTGTGAATGTAACAGTCAACATTCTTGACGTCAATGACGAGAATCCTAAGTTTTCCCGCGATGTTCAGTTCGCCAGCGTGTATGAAACTGGTAAATCTGAGCAGCTATATACATTCAACGCAACAGACCCAGACAAGGATTCTAGTCTATCATACGATATTTACTGGGATGGGAGCAGTGGGCGAGACGATCTGCAGAAAAGTGTCAATAAATCCTACCTACAGGTGTGTTGAATTAGAAGATGCTGTGTTCTTAAGTAGTCGATACCCGGAAACCGAGCTCTATACAAAAAGTAATATATAACTGGCTGTAATTTTCTCTTGTCTCGAGTATACTTGAAAACATTGACAGAACTCTAGATCGAACTGCCGTTTTCTAAAAACGTATGACTTTTTAATAACATCTGAAATTGCGAAGGAGATTCCTGATATAAAAATGTAGTAGTAATGTAGTAGTAATGCCGCAATATCTAGAACAGAAACAAGACAATGATACACACAAGTCTTACCAAAAAGTTGTTGGTGCTTTTATTCAAATATAAATATACCACCAATGAAAAGTTTAGACACAGGCAAATCACTCACTATATGTTATGTATATATATGAGGTCATATCGAAGATGAATTTCTCCACTTACCTCGGGGAATCAACTGCAAACCTTATGCTGATGAAAAATCGTGTATGTGAACAGCTGCGTTTTGGTGTGAAGTTTTGTTAAGAAGTCACCAATGAGATTCATCATTTACTGAACTCATGACAATAATTTTTTCAACGTTGCATTTGTTTTACAATACATAAGTTCATATATAAACAGTACCTTTAAACAGTATGAAATAATTTGCAAAATCTAGTTTAGAACAGTTGACTGAAGTAAGTGGCTACATTTACACTGGTGAGTTTAAACTGTTGATGGGTAGTATAGATGCCTGTATGAGGTTCTTAACACACAAGCTCCTATAATACACTTATACATAATAGATACCCCAAAAGCTATCGGACAAATGAAATTTTTGCACCGATAAGCAGTGTAGCATTTTAATGTATTTGGTAGGATGAAAATCCCACGAAGGTAAGGATTTAGTGTGCGAGCGTCTGACGGGCTACAAACATCAAGCGTTTTCATGATGGCCGCGTTTGTCCAGCGCGTTGACAAAACCATAAAGAGGATGGATGTTTGGAACAAACCCGGATCTTCCCATAGACAGATAGTCACGAAATGCCTGAAATACTGCCGATGTGATTTAACTCACTCACTCACTCCCAGTGACAAGTCACAACCTATAACCGCAGGACTACCCGACCGTGATACATTGTATCGTTAACAATGGCACGAAGGATCGTTAGTAGTGTATTTCCGTCAAGTGTTTCACAAGTATTAGACTGTTGTTACGGCTGCTCAGACTCACATTTCACATTTCATTGTATTTCCAACTGTTTAAAAAGCGGTTATACTACACTTATATATTCAACTGGTGGGCTTTTTACAGAGGGTTGTCAACATCAATCAGTCAAGTGGGGGGAAGTGGTAACTATTGCTGAGTTGGACAGAGAGAGACTGACCGCAATCACTTTGGTCGTCGTTGTAGTGGACACCAATGCCAACACTACAGGAAGACCGCTACAGGTAACCCAACACACCTGGTTTAGGAAGCACATGTGAAATACGTATGATCAACATAAGGGAATGACAGATCATATTCATGAGCAAATGGCAAAGTTTACCAGAAGAGGACAGGTGCAAACACTAATAAGGACAAATTTCAAACCCGTAAACACCAGTTATCCCCTTAGAGCATCTAGAAATCGCAAATTTAGTGCCATAAACCTTTCATGTTATTTTCGATGGGTATTTAAGCTCACTGTTAGTATATCTGCTATGTTACCCTTTTCTTCTTTTCTTCTTGAACTTATCGAGTAGTCATGGACAATTTGAAGAAGATATTTCCTACTTTAAGTGACTATGAGTATCATAGTGCCATTGTATTCCTGAAATCCTTGCCACAACTTTGTATAACCTAACGTTTGCTTTGTGATATAGACATACCCAAGCGAGGTTTGTATTTAATAATATAATATTCCATGTAATATAGAATTTTACGTTCAAGTGGTAGGATCCGTGTGTTTTGTTCAGGGACGCTGTCGATAACAGTATTGGACATCAACGACAACCCTCCAACATTCTCCAACACAACTTACTCAGCCGAGGTACTAGAAAACATGCCTGAAGGCACTCCAATCACCTTTACAACGCCGTCGGATATGAGTGTGTCCGATGCCGATTATGTGAGTTGTTGGTACATTGTGTTTGTGGGTGTGTATCAGAAGCTAAAATTAGTGTAACGAGTAATCGAAATATCGCCCTATGTAAATGCATTGATCAGTTAAGATTTTAAGATAAGATACCGGAATCGGGTGGTCAGGTCGCTGACTTGGTTGACACATGTCATCGTATCTCAATTGCGTAGATGGTTGCTAATGGTGTTGAACACTGAGATCTGAAAGATTTACATTTTAGGCGACACCAGCACGTGTATGTTTCTGACAAACCTAGAAACACGATCTATTTGCATTATTGACACGAACCATACAGCATGTCGAAAGATGCGACACTGTACAACGATCTAGAGGAAAGTTTAAACCTTGGTGTCCTGAGATATTTGAAACAAATATAGTATTACACAAAAAGGAAACTGTCCATACGAAGGATCTATACAATACATTCGATCTCTTTCAGGAAACAAATAGTGAGTTTAAGTTGATAGTCGGCGGAGGACTGGGCCATGTATTTACACCTGTCCCAACGACTGTCCGTTCTTCCTCATCCGTCATCCTCCGAGTACAGAACTCAACATGGCTGGACTACGAACAACATCATAACTTCACAATTAAGGTAAGTAGTCTTGAAACAATTATTACCTGAACAACACCAACTCCTCGAGGCCAATTGGAAGCTGTTGGAAAACATTGTTGAACACGAAACTGAATATTCATCATACAGGCGTACCTTCAAAGTTCTGTGAATCTGAGGAGCTCTATTTATAATCCACAAGATTAAACTTAATATTTGATTTGCAATATTTCTGAAAGTTTTCAAGGATCCAAATGTTATGTTTAGCATTGTATTGTTATCGTTAGATCATTCAAGAAACCACACATTTTAAAATATTTAAAGAAACTCCATGTTTTGAATGTTTCTTCAACTTTTTTGTGAAAGTTATTTTACTTATAAAGCATATAAAATCTTATGATATTATAAGTAAGACACTATATGCAACATATACAGTGAGCATATATGTCATATCACAGAATCCGAAGCACTTCTAAAAATATTGCGAAGTATTTACAGGTCATTGCAAAAGACCCAATATACAGTGATTTGAGTGAAGTATTTAAAGGACATTGGAGTACATTGTGTCTGAATAGACAATAAAGGTAAACCACGTATAGAGGCATGTTAGAAAGACCATTTGCTCCTGTTAACTTAATCTCCATAATTTGGATTTCCCAATGGAGTCGACCTAACTTGAACCACGTGCTTATGGCAGTGGCACAACTTCGGTTAACGCGAGGCTCCGTGTTGAAACCTACTTACATCAACGTGAATTTGATGGTTTCCACAGTTTTCCAAGACGATATTAAAACACCTTCACCTTCACCTGATGAAGGGATCTGTAATGATCCCGAAATGTTGTGTGGGAAAGAATATAGAAGCATAAATATAATGTCTTGGTCATCCATAACAACTTCTAAATGCCGCTAAAAGACATGGTATTAAAACAGTTTAAGTTTCTCTTGACAGCTGATTGCGAGAGAAACATTGACGTCTCCTAAGAAGAGTTCTACAGCCACTGTATACATTCAAATTCTCGACGCCAATGACAACAGCCCGATGTTCCTGAACACCTCCTACAGCATCACCATACCAGAGAACACCAGCATCCATACCAGCGTTGTCAATATAACCGTAAGTCATTAACAGAAGTGAGTTTAGTTTTACGCCGCCGCTTTTATCAGCATTCCTACAATATCACGGCTGGTGACACCAAAAATGGGTTTCACACATTGTAACTATGTGGGGAATCGAACCTGGGTCTTCGGCCTGCCCAGTTTACAATTTCACGTTGTTACATCGTTATGCTTTCGTTGTTACAACGTCATTGTATAGACTCCCATTTACGTTGTCACAACGTTGTGGCCTGACGTTATTATACGTCATTTGTACGTGTCCACAAGGTTAGGTTATTTGATACTAACGTGTTATACGTTGTCCTCTCGTTGTATTTAACGTCATAGTTGAATAGTTTTCCCAGAAGTGAACAGTACATAAGAAACAAACGGAAATTCACTTCAATGTCTATTCGTCAATTTGGATGTTTTGGTCGTGTGTTTTCTGAAGTCTCTAAGTGAAAGATTTTACAAAATACATCTATCGTGGCACCAAGTTATAAGAAACGTTGTTATAACGTTGTGAGGCGCCCAAAGCATAAATCATTTCCTTAACGTAAATTTGCAACTTTGTTGTTACGTTGTGACATAACGATATAAAATGACGTAGTAATACCGGTGTGACAACCTTGTGTCATGACGTTACCAATCTTCAACCTTTCCCACAACGTTGCGAAAACGTTGTCTGTCAGCACGGACACGAGCTAACGGTTAACCTCTATTCTACCACATCACCCCTTAACAGAAGCAAGAACCTGTGAACAGTTATAGATAGATATCTTCTGAAGGAGCAAGAACACGTGTCATTGCGAAAAGTTGAAGAGATAACTGATATTAAACATACATGTATGACTGACATCGAATTCCAGGTCTCTGGTTGGCTAGACCACGATGATGACGTAAGGTGTGGTTATGACGGACCACTTTTCTCATTGTAATTCACGTGTACGTTTCTCTGCTAAATGTGTGCGATTTTCGAATGTAAGAAACAGGATATAGCTCTCGTGCCTGAATTTCTTGCTTATGCAGGAAATACCTTTTGTAACAACTTGTTTAAAAATGGCAGAATGACTGGCACACTTTACCAAAAATACTGAACAAAGTATTTGAATTATTGTTACTTTTAATCTCTAAATATAGTAAGAAGGATAAAACGTTGACTCTCAATGGGATCTTAAATCAACGAGGCTTCGCCGTAGCATGCCTGTGAATAAGTTCAACATCCCTATGTTTAGATTAACAATTTATTCCTTTGCAGGCGACGGATCCGGATTCAGATAAATACACGATGGGAACTTACACGCTAAGTGGGAGCGAGAATAAGTAAGCAAAACTCCTTCATAGTTCCATTCTACCCTACTGTTAGGGCTGGGACGTGTAACCGGGACGGGTATGAGTTGGACCCGAGTACCTGGCACAGTACCCGGACCCGTTTTGCCGAGTCATATGACTAATAGTTCAAACAATGTGATACGTTATTCTTTCATGATTAAAAGGTTGTAATGTCTTTGAAGATTCAGACATTATTTACAGTTACCTGTTTTGAATATAATACAGGATTAAGATATTGAAAAACTTGATATTTTAGCCTCCGAGCTGAAGAATATATTACCATTTCTTACAAATTTGATGTCAGGAATTAACATAACGGGTATCCGGGTGGGGTAGGGTAATAGGGGGTGGGGTACCCGGGTAGAATATTTGGACCCGTCCCAGCCCTACCTTCCATAGTGTATTGCTATAGTCGTCTTAATAACAAGTATCATGTACATAGCTAACCTAATCAGTTGTTGAGCAAAATTAAATTTAGAAACCCCCACACAAACTTTGGACATAATAGATTTTAGATCTTATGATGTTCGCCTTTGTACCAAGAAATGTTATCAGTGAGCATTAAGAAAATGAATTGGAGTATCTTCTGCTGTTTGATTATTTTTAACGGGATTGGATTCAAGAAACTTTTAACTTTTAACTTTTACTGATACATTTTGATGCATAATACTTTTTCTCGATGAAAACTTATACGGTGTATATACGTGTTCACTTGGCAACATACAGGTGGATACAGAAGCAATATCAAGCTGATCAATGTTTCAGCGCTGTATGACTATTTCGATTTAGTCGGATCCAAATGAGCTTTCTTTCCCGGCATCAAATACCAGCTCAAAAACACCAGCAATTGTGAACACACGTGATGCTAATATCCTTTTTCCCATCGTAAATCATTGTTCCCCTGTTAAAGCGGTTTCTCAGTTGCATTTTAACATTGTCTAACATTCAGTCAATATTTATGGCCATAAAACGCTGTCTTACCAGGTTTCTTCGTCAATGTGAAACGTTATATGATTGCAACGTTACAAAAGAGTAAAATGACGGACAACCTATGAGCGTATGCAGGCAAATTGAAGCAAAACAAACTCCTTCCCATGTTCATAAGAAATCGAAGGTACAATAAACATTTTCTTGCAGGTTTGAGATCGACAATAACACTGGCGAAGTGAAAGTTTTTGCTGATCTGGACAGAGAGGTGAAGTCCCAGTACTTTATGACCGTCACAGCTGAAGACAAAGGCGGTCGGAAACAAACAGTACCTCTCACTGTCACCTTGTCGGATGTCAATGATAAGAGCCCAAAATTCAGACTCAATGAGTACATCGGAAACATCAAAGAAAATCAAAATAATTTCTCTACCGAAGTCAGAGTATCAGTGAGTACTTTTACATACATTAATCATGGGGAAAACCCCCACCCATAAATTATGAGCGGTATATATATACTTTTCAAATATACTTTTCCATGATCCTAAGGAAACGAGCGTAAAATGATTACAACATTCTCTTTTTTTCCTCAATGTACACTAAGTTTAGATGCAAAAATCTGAAGGGTCATAAACATTTTACAATGACACCCTAGGATATGACAACATCCCTATATAAAATAGTTTACACATTATGAGAAAAATCTGAGGAATATGGGCACATAAGCTATTTCAGAGTATATGTGAGATATATTGGGATCCCGGTAAGCCTGAGTGGTTCTCACGTATCATTCATTATCTGTGGATCTTCAACAATGTCTATGCTGGGTTAAAACATGGACACTGGTGTACTTTAGGCGACTGATGCGGACGAAGATCACAATAGCAACAGCCAAATCACCTTCAGCCTTGACTCCTCACAACTTGCCAATAATTTTTCGATAAATGGATCGAGTGGAGTTATCTCCCCTGTTGGACCTCTGGACTACGAGAACCTTCCACCAAGCCTGCAGGGCTCTATTGTTCTTACCGTTATTGCCACCGACGGCGGCCGTCCCAGAATGTCTTCCAATGCTACTGTCCAAATAAACGTACAGGTGGGTAGCATGGTCTGTTACGTTCGATATGAAACCACATTTACAATTATGATCAAAGGCAAAATTATTAGTTTTCGCATTTATCTATTGACTGCGAAAAACAACTTGTGTCACGGTAGCACAGATTTCTTGTCCCAAAATGAAATACAAATTCGGTGATTTTGCTTCGATACAAATTTCTAAGAACTAACGTCGTTACTCTCCATTACATCTCCATTTCAAATAGACACAAGTATACTTAAGTTCTGCTCTAAAACAAAATGTTATTTTCAATATATACTCGTGGAAACGAGGGGCGGTGGGGTAGCCTAATGGTTAAAGCGTTGGCTCGTCACGCCGAAGACCCGGATTCGAATCCCCACATGGGCACAATGTGTGAAGCCCATTTCCCGTGTCCCCCGCCGTGATTATGCTGGAATATTGCTAAAAGCGGCGTAAAACCAAACTCAGTCAGTCAGTCGTGGAAACGAATAAGGGCCCTTACTTTTTTCCAGGTTTCTTCACATGGTATATATTGCACCGTTAGATGCATGGTACTTTCATGTGTTCCCTGATTCGTTTCCATGAGTATATTTTCAGCTGAATCATTGGAGAGTAACATTAATGATAGGAAGAACTAAAATATCACAGGATATTCATGCATCGTACATACCATTTTTATGTCCTTTTTACATTGAATGAACCATTCATTCATAAAATGTGTGTATATTGATCACCACAGGATGAAAATGACAACGACCCCGTGTTTAACGATACCACGTACAGTGGTGATGTGATGGAATCTGGAACTCCTGGTAGGGATTAACTAATTACTATTTGCTAATTTGGCTTTACTTTGTATGACTTGAGAGTCCTGGTGAAGATTTATCGATGAATTAATCACTATTTGCTAATTGGCTTTACTATGTATAGTTGTGAGCATATATGACCTCAAAATTATAAACCGTATTTACATACATGACACGGTTTATGGATAACAACTTCTTTTTATTCTTTGCATGACGTTTCAGAGCTAATTCTTGTTCCTTCATCATGGAGTCATTCACCTGATGAAGGAGCAAGAATTAGCTCTGAAACGTCGTGTAAAGAATGAAAAGAAGGTTTTATCCATAAAATGTGTCATGTATTCATGTTCGTTCAACTTCAAAATACCTTAGTTTCAAAAGCTTCACCCAGAATAATGTTCTGTATATAATTTGTCCACTAGGTGAGCACATCCTGCAAGTGTTCGCCACCGACAGAGACGGCACTGCCCAGAACAGCGAAGTCTTTTACATACTTTTGGGAGAAGGTTCTTACAAGTTCCAGATCGATGGTTCCTCCGGGAACATCTCGACGGCTGCTACCTTAGATAGAGAGGCCAAAGCTCAATACCAACTGACTGTCATGGCCATGGACAGAGGGACTCCGCCACGCAGTAGCACCGCCAACGTCACCATTAACGTAACAGACGTCAATGACGATGTTCCAACGTTCCCTCAGATCACAGTAACCACGTCGGTAGATGAGACAAACGCCACTGGCAGAATTCTGTCCAGCATATCTGCGATAGATCGTGATCAGAACGCTCAGTTAGATTACACTATCTTGTGGAACATCAGCTCTGGCTTAGATGAAGATCTTAATGACGTCAATATATCCAGAATACAGGTAATATCCATGTTCTGATACTTATCTTCTTGAGAAACGGGGCGGTGGGGTAGCCTAGTGGTTAAAGCGTTCGCTCGTCACGCCGAAGACCCGGTTTCGATTCCCCATATGGGTACAATGTGTAAAGCCCATTTCTGGTGTCCCCCACGGTGTTCTTGCTGAAATATTGCTAGAAGCCGCTTAAAACTAAACGCACTCACTCGCTTTCTCTTGAGAAATGTTTTTGCGTTGGCAAGTTTTGGTTGAACCAGCATGGTATAGTAATCTGTTGCATCTTCCTATGGACAGGAAATACTAAAGGTTAACAGTTCTTCCGGCAACATTGTCCTTATTGGTGACCTTGACCGAGAGGAGATTGAGCTCATCACGCTTGTACTTCATGTGCATGACGCCAATGCTGTTCGAAGGAAACCCCAGACTGCAACGGGTAGGTGTCCTAGTATTTGTTGGAGGTGGTCGGTACATAAATCCAGATATGCATATGAGAAAAAGATTGCTCTTGAAATCTATTTCGAATGTCATGATAGTTGTACCACTACCTGTTTATTCTTAATTGTGGAAAGATACCCGAATGTATGAAAGATTTTCTTCATAAAGATGATGACTGGGAGCTACGAAACTATGATCGGCAGTGCGTGGCGTCGATAAAAAACAACTTGTGCAAAATTGATTTTCTCAACAGCTACACTGACGATGTCGGTGATCGACGTTGATGACAACACCCCCACATTTAACAAGAATATTTATGCGGCATTTATAGAGGAAAACTCTCAACCCGGCATACCCCTCACTCTCCAGCCTCCTTCGTCCATCACCGTGGAAGACAAAGATAAGGTCAGCAGGTTGCTCGGGCATATTAATAGTTTGTTGCCCACTCCACTAAAGTGACTCAAACATCAATTTTGTTAGCAGTGAATTAATTTGAGAGACCTATGTAATGGTTGTGTGACAGTGGTGACCGATGTAAGTGTAGGCTCATGTTAATAGTGTTACACTCACTCCAATATAAACTTGCACATGTCGTGAGGTGTCCATAAGTATGAGCTGCTTTTCTTACGAGTTTTTGTTTGTTTGTTTGTTTGTTAATGCCGCACTCAGCAATATTCCAGCTATATGGCGGCAGTCTGTAAATACAAAATCTGGATCAGAGAATTTACTGATAAATATCATTATCATCGACCTACGATGACATATGACATAAACCAGCGAGCCTGACCACCTGATCCTATTAGTCGTCTCTTACAACCCGCTGGGTTGCCGCAGGCCAGTTCTAACCCGTTTCATAACGGGTCTTCTTAAAGTGTGCATCCAAAGATTACTACTTAACGTAGACAACAATCATGACTAATCATGTTCACATTATGTTTTGTTTTGTAAAGGATCTTAACAGCGAGTTTTCACTGAGTCTCCTGAACCACGGTGATATTTTCGACGTTGTGCCCAGCGTTGCAAGGTCCACAGCTACTGTCCTCGTCAGGGTGAAGAATTCGTCAAGCCTGGATTATGAACAAATTAAGAAGATGACGCTTACTGTAAGTGAAACATCGCACCACATTATAGCACGTTAAAGCTAACTACGTGACCTCAGTCCTCACCCAGTGTTGTTTGAAACCAAAATATTCAAGAATATGTATTCCTCTGGGATCTGGATTACAGAATATGTCTCTAACGACAATGTTTAACTTCAGAGAAAACATAGCATGGTATCGTGTGGTCTGTTACTGTGGGGTGCGTTGGGGTAGCCTAGTGGTTGAAGCGTTCAACTTCGCTCGTCACATCGAAGGCCAGGGTTCGATTTCCCGCATGAGCACAGTGTGTAAGCCCATTTCTGGTGCCCCCATGATATTGCTGGAATGTTGCTAAAAGCTGCGTAAAATCCAACTCACTCACGCTGTTATTTGGCGTATGTGTCATCATGAGACGAACCATGGCTTAGTCTTTTACACGACTCTATGGCAAGGAAGGAATATAACTGACGGCCGCATGAATCTACGAACAAACAGAATGAGTCATGAAAGTTTCAATCAGTTCATGTTTGAATATGTATCTCCCATGTATATTAAGGCTCTTTAACAACCGCATTGAACTTTGCCGGAAATTACAGTCATTAAAGTACAACGTGAGATGTATTCTATAATTTCAGCTGGCTACAGTCAGTTGCGAGATTTTGAACCTATAATTGATCAAATGTTACGTGATAATTTATGACAGCAACTCTATCTCTTTATGTTTCTTTTTTTCAACTTAAGTATTGTATATTTAGTCTGCTAAAGGTTATTTTAATATTAATTAGTACATAATGACGTGCATGTACGCGTGTGTGTGGTTGCTTGTACTGATGACTCAGTTTAACATGGGTGCATGCTCAGACACAGCCAATAGACTTGACTCAATGTCCGTTCAACCCCTTATTGCTAAACGACATGCATGCAAACAACCTGGAACATCTTCTGGTGACGCCGCCTGTTGATTAATCTTTCGAGAGAACACCAACGGCATTCTTAAGACGAACGTTTCTGTCTCCCCAAAACACGTAGAATATTATGGGCTTTATATAATGTCACCATGTGAATATGAAGACGAGCATCTTTTCAAATATATTTTATATTTAAACGTAAGTTACCTGCAAGGCAGTGGGCCGGGGAATACACAGAGACCGTATGTCCGTCCGTCCATCCGTAGCTTCTCGGCGGGGGCTGGTTTATGACAGACATGCATGTTAGATAAAGGAATTGTAACAAACTGTTGTTACTTGTCTCGATCTTTGGTCTCGAGGATTCACTGTCGTACAGTTAAGTTGCCAGTGTTTTCAGCGTTCACTCATTTTTCACTTGTTCAACACACATTGCAACAGTGTTTAGCAGAGTTGAAACCAATTGACTTCTTCCATGATTACTGGTTTATTGCGAAGGATTCATTTGACCCGTTTTTAGGCTCAATTACGAGCCGTGTTCCAAATTCACACCACAGTATGTTCGTAGCATAATCAAGTTGGTTATAAACTTTGTCGTGAACGCGTTTTCTCGCAACCGAGGCCGAAAATATACATTTGGTACAGTGTTTGAAACTTATTTCTTGCGACACATGACTTCCTCTCTCCAGTAGAAGCATTTTGGTAAACCTGCACTCACTCTTTGATCCAATCCCGTGGTTCTTGCAATTGCCAAGTACCTGCCCTTGCTTTTCATTGACGTGATACCGACTAATCAAACGTCAGCATGACTCACTAAAAATCAAAGGAACCGGTCGCCATGTTGTTGATATGGCCAACCCAACATTGAAACTGTTTGTAACTCACATTCTGATCGGTACGTAAGACCTGGTGGTGTTGGCAATCAAATTTCCAATTGGAAATCAAGGGCAGGTATTTCAGGCTGAAATAACCACTTCCGGTACTAAGGTGGTTCCAGGCTCCCTTTGCCTTCGCCAACCTGTGATATGCGAGACGTGTCCCAGCTTACTTCCGGTACCAGATTTCCTGCGTATATTCAAGAACCAGTTCTGGTTCCAAATTGCGCGACCGCCAGATATGCCTCTACTGGGCTAGACCAAGTGAACAACCATGCCTTGCTGTCACAGCTGTGACAGTCGTAATAGTTTGCTTATCTGGGAATGATTAGATCGAAAATATTATTCCTGCAAGGATTATCGGTTCTATACTGTCAACAAACAACCATGAGACCATTCGGAAATGTAGAGAGGTGCCGTGACCTACATACGGATCCATGGATCCAGGTGTTTATAAAGGTTTACTGAGATATGCAGGATGGACACATCACTGAAAACTAACACGGGCGAAACACCTCATTCACGTTCACTGTAACCAAATTGGCATTATGTATTACAGCTAATGGCCAACGAAACCAAAGTTCGTCATCCCAGGAGTTCCATTGTGACAATCCAGTTGAACATCACCGATGCCAACGACAACGATCCTGTGTTTGACAGACCCTCCTACACCGGCAGTGTGCCTGAAAACGCACCGAACGGTTCTTTAATCTTGCAAGTAGGGGTAAGGGAACATTCATGATGCCAAACGGATTTTCACATGACCTTGAACTCTACAACTTGATTAAACAATAATTTATGCTGGTCTTAGATTAATTCCGAACACACAAACAAACCCGCACACACTCACACTCACACTCTCTCTCTCTCTCTCTCTCTCTCTCTCTCTCTCTCTCTCTCTCTCTCTCTCTCTCTCCTAGCCATTTTATCACTTTTCCCTATAATTTTGTTAGACGTCCACCCATTTCTTATCTCTCCTTCACTTTCAGGCTCATGACAACGACTCCGCGCTATTTGATGTGAAAAGTTACGGTTTATTGGGGACCCACTCTAAGTAAGTGCTACTAGTTTGAGTGTACGATGTGATCCTTTTGCTCTCAACTTTAACATTCACGTCAATACTCACGCGTTAACTTGTGCAGGGTAATACTGAAATAAGGGCCACTACTATAGCATCATTAGTAGTGTTGTGTGGTTCCGTGCGTAGATCTCAGGTCACAAATCAGTTGAAGTTAAGCAACGCTGGGCGCGGCGAGGCCTTGGATGGGTGACCGTGTTCGGCAGCTTGACTCCTGTTTCTAGGACTTCAGTCCTGCCCAACAACAAAGCAACTGTGGTATCACCTTAGGCAAGTCAGTTTGTTCAAAATTGCCTCTGTTCACCCAGCAGAAAATGGGTACCTGATAGGATAAGTCATGTGACTATAACCTCCTTGCGCCTCAAAGGCAACATGGGTTATCCGGAGTAAAAATGAACTGTCTAAATTGTATCAGCTTTGAGCATGCACTAGCGCGGCAGTACATATTATTACATCAATTATCAATAACGAATCGATAGTTAAAGAATGGTCCTTAAGTTGTCTCACATAAGCAATGTATACTCGTCACAAAAAGAACCTGTGCACACAGAAATTTCATTCAGAATTGGAATACAACACAGCAAAAACGTAATGATGTAGACACTTTATAAGCCGAAGTATCGGACCACAACAACATGTCAAAAGAACATGAACAGTGTCCGTAACGATGACGTCATGAGCGTTTGATTGTCTCTATACTTGCTGTGTTCACACCTGTATTTATGTATACAGACACTGTGTGTCTATATTTATATTTTCTGTGTACACAGTTTCTTTATGACGCTAGTATACATTTCAGTGAACATCAAAATGCATAATTATATAAAACATCATAAGTACGTGCGAGCGTGCGTAACACAATCTTATACACCTTGTGGATTTTATTTGATGCAGCTTTGTCCTCGACGACGTCACGGGCAAATTGCTTGTAGCTGTTGGCAGTAACCTTGACCGAGAGATACAACCTACTTACAGCCTTTCTGTGGAGGTTGTGGACAAGGGAGGTCGAAGGTCATCCGTCCCTGTTACTGTGAATGTTACGGATGTAAACGATAATCCTCCTGTATTCACTAGAGTAGAATACAGCGCAAACCTCGTAGAAGGGGATTTATACTTTGACCGACCTTTGCAAATCAAGGTAATCGCTGGTTGATATGTACGATTTATTACACGTGTTCTGAATGTCTTTGTAAGATACTTGAAACAGATGTTGTGTAACCAGTTAAACTTTATCAAAAGTGTGTTGTGTATCCAAACTAGGTTATTCGACGATAGTGATGTCATAATGCTGAATTTTCTGTTACCATCTTGATATTTTAAAATAACATTTTAACTACATTTAAGCAGTTGGTGACAAAATCTGCCAACCAAACAAAACATTTGCGGATAATTAAAAATGCAATTTCGGTTTCCTGGGGATTGGGGGTTTGTTCAGTTTAATATTTTCAATTGTTTATTTTCATCTATAAAGTAGTTGTGACAGAGTTATCTCCCTTTCGTTTTGTTTACATCCGGCATTGTCTGTTTGATTTGTTATCATGGATCACTCTGTTTTCCCGTCCTGTGTGTAATAAATAGGTCACAAATGTTGAATGTTAAATATGGAAAATGTGACACTTCAATATTTTTTAACGTTTTGATTTATTCACGAGCGAAATCTAAACGTTTACAAATATATCGTTGGAATATTTTCCATATTCAGCACCCTATTCAACAACCACTAGTTTTGTAATCTCTATATATACAATGTAAAAAACGTCTGTCTTCCGTTAACCAGTCATTACAGTTTGCAACATTTTTCGGGGAACTAGTATATTTACATTGAACCCTTATACCTAATAATAGACTGAAGCCCCGTTTATCTTTAACGTAACGTATTTGTCGTCCCGTCAGCACGGATTAACGACTGTGTGCGTTTAGAGTAATGTCCCTTTGTACTCATTTAATTACCAGGAGGTCCCCGATTTAAGGGGTTCGGGCTTATGTGTTTCCACAATATATTCAGGAAATTTAGCTTGAATTTAGATTAAAGTCTCTTTCTACGGTTGAGTGGCATACGTTTCCAATAAGTGGTTTGTAATACGAGTGAGTGAGTGAGTTGAGTTTTACGCCGCACTCAGCAATATTCTAGCTCTATGGCGGCGGTCTGTAAATAATCGGATCTGGACCAGACAATCCAGGGATCAACAGCAAGAAAATCGATCTTTCTGGTGTGGAGCATCTTCTCGTTGTATACACAGTTGTACCCTACAGATATCTGTGGGAGGCAGGATATGAACAATAATACGCCGTCAGATTTCTATATTCTAATGTGGAACGCGTGTAATTGTGTCCGGTATGTTTTGTTTCAGACCACAGACGCTGACCTCGAGGGTACAAACAACACCGCAGTGTTTTACACCATTCAGTCGCCCTCCAGTTTCCTCAACAACAACTTTTCCATCAACGGAACTGGGGAATTGACACCTAGCGGTCCCATCGACTATGAGGCTACTGACGTCAAATCAAGGAATGGAACCCTTCACCTTCTGGTGGTGGCGAAAGATGGCGGAAATCCACAATTGTCGTCAAATGTGACTGTCACCATACACGTGGAGGTGAGGGGCAAACATGGCAGGTGAAGGAGATTGGTGAAGTCTCGCACGTGAGATAGGGGCGACAGATGCAAAACCTTACACGTGCAGGTAGGGGAGACTCCTGCAGAATCTCGCACCAGGTAGTGTAGGCTGGTAATGAGTGTCAAACCTGCAGGTAATGAAGACAGATGCAGTGCGCCACAGGTATTGCAGAACGAGTATTATCGAATCTCACATAGCTGACACTGATGTGGTCACCTTACATGCGCAGCTGTACACATATATATAGGGAGGAATCACGGGTGGAAATAACCCATTGCCCGACGTCCGAGTCCAGTGTTTTTTTCTGTCGGGCAAGCAAATTTGTATATCACACTGTACTGGTGTCCAGTTGACTTTCCAATATTAATTATGTTGTTTATTTAAAACAACAACAAGAAAACGGCCGGTATAGTGGAAAAATTATCAGGGCAAGTGATTTTACATGTGCCACTGTACCGGAGTACACTAGCAATTTTAAAGTTATTTCCACCCCTGCAGGAATGATATACACGTACAAGTAGGGGACAAAAATGCGGAATTTTAGACGTGCTGGCGGGGATGTCTAATGCAGAGTGCCACATGTGAAGAAGGGGAGACTTATCTCGTCTTTATACACGTGCAGGCATACGTATATATGAAGGGAAGACTGCTAAGCACATGAAGGAACGTTAGTCGACATCTACAAGTACCACTTACTAAAGTAAGGCCAGAAATGCTTAGAAAATGCTTTTGGGCAATTATTTGATAATGTTTGATATTTCAGATTTAAAACTCATATATAATCATTCATACCACCTCGATCTAATAAGGCATATGAGTAAACACGATGTACCATTCCCTAATCATAATGATTACTCGTAAAATATCGAAAAACTTAGAAAAAATTCCATGGTAGAAACACTTCTAAGAAACAAGACCGCCCCCGTGGTGTAGTGCTTAGAGCGTCCGCCCGGAGAGCGGAAGGTCGCGGGTTCGATCCCCGACCGCGTCATACCAAAAGACGTTAAAATATGGTACTTGTTGGTCCCTGCCTGGCGCTCGGCATTAATGGGTACATCAAGGACTGGTCGGCTCGGAGTCAGTATAATGTGTCTGAGTTGGGTATTCATGCTTCACTGCGGCATGGTATCTCAGTGGGCTAGCACTATAAAACCAGCTTCAGTCTGGGCTAGTACAAGCAGCCGCACATACACATACACACGCATGCACGTCGTCATATGAGCGAAATATTATCAAGCACGACGTTAAACCCAATTTCACCTCACCTCTAAGAAACAAAATACTAGTATACTATGACCCAGCTGGCAGGCAGACAGGGTGACAGCATTATGTAACGCACGGGCAGTGCATGTCAGGGACCGTCTCAAAATATCAAGTGTCAGTATCACTGCTGGTAGAGGACTCTAGCGCAATTAGAACAGGACATTTATTGTATCTTTGATCTCATCTTGTATTTTACCACACGTCGGTGGGATTTTGCGTTCATAAAGTTTATAAGCACAGCGTATTACAGCCTATCAATTATCCATTTTGTGTTTCCTACCTGGTTTTGATTTTGACACGACCCCTGAGGTAACTGATTTGTTTACAACTTTGTAAACCTGACTATATGTCAAATGAAGGGCTTTACACATTCTATAGTAAACCCTGTCATAGCTAACGAGAGGTTTCACCCTTTGTTTCTCCAGTATGAAATACTTGTATAAATTTGAAATTAATTGTTCTGCAGGGATATCAAGTCGCATGTTGCCAGTTCAATGCTCATACACGAAGTGAAACTTCTATGGGTGAACAAGATTATCTATGCGATTTGAATTAAGACATTTTTACGTAATTATTTTGAATATAACTAATACAAGAGTTCCATCTTTTCACATATAGATGTTGAAAAAACAAAACTTTTTACAATCATTTGTGTAAGTTAATTAGTTGAGACTATATGAATAATTATAGTCTGTATTCAAAACTACAGTTTGTACTTAGAATATTTACGAATGTTGTTAAAACGTCAAAATTTCCTCCTGTGAAGTCACCCCTCAAGTGCATTTTTTCATCTGAGCTTTAATATCCAACTAGGTAGAGTCGTACATGTATCATATATGTGCTTTTATCTTGTGTCAAATTTATCATATTAATATTGAAGCCAAAAAGCATTTTCCAAGCATTTCTGGCATTACTTTATATACCTCTTAATGTACATGTAAGGGAGTCTAATGGAGTACTATATGCACATGTACAGGTATCCTAGCACCACGATGTTCTCACTATCGATTACAGATACAGAAGGCGTATGTTCAAAATAACAGGCCAACCTAGAAAATTGTGTCATGAAACCATTAACAACTGAGAGTTTTATGTTATTTCGTCAGTATCATGCCATTGCTATCTGTCATTGTTCTGAGTCACAACTGAGAGTTTTATGATATATGGAGATGTTCTGAGGTCCCTCCACATAGTTTTAACCAAATGGAGATCTTTCCACACCCCTCCAGCAATCCCATGATTTCTTGGTTTTTCTTGGTATTTTCACGTCATGTTCATAATGCCCGTCTCTTTTAACAGGACATAAATGACAACACGCCTCTGTTTACAAACGAACCATACACGGCTTCAATTCCTGAAAACGCCACAGATGGTATGTCCTGTCAGCTGATAATTACCAATGATCATTTCATATGAGATGTTAAACATTATAGGTTATGTACTGGTCACGAGGGGGACATCGATTGATGTACCCTCTATGTTTGTTTATGTTCCCTGTGCCCGAAGTTCGGCATTCCCAGCGGGTAACATAGAAAAACATTATCTGCCTTCTCAAAACATCGGTAATTTCCGTACATCATACGTGTCTCAGATATTCGAGATAAAGAATTACTAAGACGAAGTACCAAATGAATTCCCACAGTTCGGCATTCCCGGCGGGTAAAATAGAAAATGTTTCTGGCTTGTAAGCGGGGTACATTCAACAGAAGAGCGATCAGCCAATCAGAAAACGAAATTTATGTATGACGTAAGATACATCTTGATATCTAAGTCGCCAGTTATCAAAGAATCTAGATCTTACAGTTCGTTTGGCTCAAAATCGGACCGATGAATTGCAATCTAACTCCAAAACTAATAAACATAACATACTCAATGAAACGCTGATCATAATCAAAACATCATACCCACTCTGTGAGGTTTTTGCAGAATTTGTGTCCTAAAAATAATAAAGTTGTTTAACAAACTATCATTAAAATATTGACGCAGTTCACTGTTTGTTACGAGGGAGGAGTGCAGAGTAGGGGGCAGCCAGGTGCTCGAGAAGCACGTTCACAGACAAAGTTATTTATTCATTAACCTGTGCTGTGCCGTCTCCATCCGTTCTCGATCACCTGGCTGTCCCTTTCTCTGCACTCCTCCCTCGTAACAAATAGTGAACTGTGTCAATATTTTAATGATAGATTGTGAAACAATTTTTAGGACAAAAATTCTGCAAAAACCTCACAGAGTGGGTATGATGTTTTGATTATGATCAGCGTTTCATTGAGTATTTTATGTTTATTAGTTTTCGAGTTAGATTGCAATTCATCGGTCCGCTTTTGAGCCAAACGACTATAGATTTTGCAAATGTAATTGTCATGGAATAGATCCAATTGCTGAAAGCGGCGTCTAACAACAAACGAAACATATACACTGGCAGAAACAAGGATGGTGACAAGACTTTGTCTTGTTTCAGGTACATTTGTGTTGAATGTATCCGCGACGGATGAGGACGGGGAAACCCCAACAATCAAGTAATGTTCGTCATAGACTCTGGTGGCTCGGACAATTTCAGGGTGAATGGAAGAACGGGCAGAATCACTGTCCAAACAGGAGCTGCGCTGGACCGAGAGCGAGAAGCAAACTATAGCCTCGTCGTTGTCACCATTGACCAAGGCACTCCTCCGTTATCGTCTAACACCACCGTGATTGTCAACATCACGGACGTTAATGACGAACCACCTGCTTTCAGCGTGGATAGCAGCTCTGCAAGTTTTACGGAAAATAGTACAGGGATCTGCTCCTTTACTTTCAATGCCACTGACCCGGACGAGATCAGTTTACTGAACTATACCATCCTGTGGGATAGAAGCCTTGCTTATGACGAAAGAGGAGGCAATGTCAACATTTCACTGGTTAAGGTAATGTTCATCTTGCTTTAGGGTGGTGGGGTAGCCGTGTGGTTAAAGTGTTCGCTCGTCCCACTGAAGACCCGGGTTCGATTCCCCACATAGATACAACGTGTGAAGCCCATTTCCCGTGCTCCCCTGCCGTGATATTTCTGGAATAATGCCAAAAATTACGTAACACAAAACTCACTCACTCATCTTGTTTCCAGTGCTAATTTCAAGACCAAGGTGTTTAACCCTCTACTGAGTGGCTTGACAATGCTCTGAACCACATACCAAACACCTGGTGTGTTATTTGCCGTCATTTAACGTCAAAGACAACAAAATGCATACAAAATTACCATCCAGGTTCCAGGGTTAGGAACGTCCCCAACTATCTATGTTTATCGTAATAATCACCTGAATGGATGGGTAGCCATGCTCGGGGAAGTCACGGATTATTTGTCATATACATGTATCAAACACTGGTCTGTCTGGACCAGATTCGATTATTTTCAGAGCGTGGTGCAACTTGAGTGTTGCTTTCTCCAATTACATGTACTCCGAATATGCAATGAATATTTTGGGCATAAATGTCCTCGATAAATGTTTACTTCAGTTCCGATATAGAAAACTACTATTGCCAAACTCTGAACTCATTAAAATCATCTTCTGAACGTAAAGGGAGCGGTGGGGTAGCCTAGTGGTTAAAGCGTTGGCTCGTCACGCCGAAGACCCGGGTTCGAATCCCCACATGGGTACAATGTGTGAAGCCCATTTCTGGTGTCCCCGCCGTGATGTTGCTGGAATATTGCTAAAAGCGGCGTAAAACCAAACTCAGTCAGTCAGTCTGAACGTATATCAACGTAGATGACATTTTCATCTACGTCGATGATACTTTTGTTGAATGTGGCACAAATACGCTTCCAACGGGATTGGGTGGTCAGGCTCGCTGACTAGGTTGACACATGTCATCGTATCCCACTTGCGTAGATCGATGCTCATGCTGTTCATCACTGGGTTGTCTGGTCCAGATTTATAGACCACCGCCATATAGCTGGAATATTGCTGGGTGAGGCGTAAAACTAAACTCACTCACTCACTCTTACTGGTGATCTTACTGGAAGTGATTTCAATGTGAATAGTGGTCTCTCCAGGGAGAATTGTAGTTTGTAGTTTACTTTTGAATATTAAGATATCACTGTCATGGGCTGCGTGATACATTGCAGCTTGGTCTAGGTAACAAAACTATTCAATATTTTATATCCCTTTTCTTGGTTATTCATTGAACAAAAAATATTCCTAACAGGACTGGTTCAGCGTGAATGCAACGACGGGGGATTTGTGCTCGCTACCAGCTGTGATAGACAGGGAGACGGCTGAGTCCATCACGATCATGGTCCAAGTACGAGACCTTAAAGCAGAGGAACACATCGATAAACAAACTGCTACAGGTTAGTCAATTTCTACTGAACGGGGTAGGGATTAAAGAGCTTGAGATCTGGACTGAGTTTACCCTGTGAAAGGAAAAATCGTGAATTAGGAAATATTTATTTGAGGCAAGAGAGTACTTAAATCTGTCGGATAATAATAATAATGACATTTGTAATGCGCTGAATTCCACACTACGGAGATGCACGCTCAAAGGGCTCCAATCTGATTATGATTACCCCTGATAACCAAAGCTGCCTGTGAGGCGCTGGAAGGTTAATAGTCACCGGGTACCCATTTTCTGCTGGGTGAACAGTGGCAAGTTTGAACAAAATTAGTTGCCTAAGGTGAGACGACATGTATCACATGTGCTTCGTTGTGGGCAGGACTGAAGTCCAAGAAACTCTACGGAGTCAAGCTGTTACACACGGTCACCCATCCAAGGACTCTCCGCGACCAAGGTTGCTTAACTTCACCTGATTTGTGACCTGAGCTCTATGCACAGGGCCACGCACCACCACGATGTTCACACCGTCTCCGGCTTTTCTCCCTCATTAAGCTGACCCGCCGTCATACAACTGGAATGTGGTCGAAAGTAGTGTTGGGAATTGGTGGTGGCGACAGATGGCGGGTCTCCATCACTGTCGTCTAGTGTGACGGAGGTGAGGGGCAAACATGGCAGGTGGGGGGAAGATTGGTGAAGTCTCGCACTTGAGATAGGGACGACAGATGCAAAACCTTACACTTGCAGGTAGGGGGGACCCCTGCATAATCTCGCACCACGTAGTGTAGGCTGGTACTGAGTGTCAAACCTGCAGGTAAGGAAGACAGATGCAGTGCGCCACGGGAGGCGTTGCTCATGTTGTCAGTCACTTATACACGACTGCGGCCTTAAATAACAGTCACCCGTTGAATGTTAGTTGCTTTGGGTCAGATATGAGTTTTCGGCAATTTAAAACAAAATAAACTACGGAACAAACACAATACACTTCCGCCATGATAACATTCACGTTGTCTATGGAACCTTGGGTCAACTTTGTAAAGATACATCGTTAATGCTGATATTAATAAATCATATCATATACATGAAAATGATGACATGTATCATCTTTTATACACATAGCTTCAGTTTCTGTGACCATCGTGGACATCAACGACAACTTCCCTGAGATAGTGCAGGGCAGCAACATCGCAGTGAACGTGTCAGAAGGGACGCCGGTAGGGACAGTCATAAAAACTCTCGAAGCCACCGACAGAGACCTGAGACAAACAGTGACTTTCTCAACCACTTCCGTAGATTTTAACATCACAAAGAAAGGTATGTAAATGAATATTTATTGAATTTAAGCCTGAGCCCACCTTAACTTTTCCAGCTTTTACATCAAAATCTAGTTGAATTAAATAACTAGGTTTGCTTTTCGAATGACTGAAAACTCCAATTTTAAATGAGAGTGACAGACAGATATTTTATATGGGTTGGTCTCAACCATCCCAGAATCTCAGATTCGGTTGGATGCAAAGCTGCCAGAGATGACCGAGATAAAGAGGACGTTGCTGGACATGAAGGGTAAACCCAAGCTAGGGGATTGCAGGAAAGGGAGGTAATCCGCTCACCACTGCATACCACACCAACAAAAGCTTGTTGTTTTAAAAAATAGTTTTAAAACTTTTTGCAAGGCCATTAGACGTGCTTTCGGTTAGAAAATAGTAGAGTACCACAAGGAAGACTTCTGAAAAGGAATAATAATAACTTGTCCACAAAAAATGAACGTTTTCTTTTCACTCACCAATTTCTAGAATGCCAGCAAACCTTTAACGATTTATTTTTACCATATATGGTAGTACCATGACGTAGAAGAAAGCTTGAATTTGATTTGTGAGAATCAGGTATCTAATTAGACTTCCATAGCTGATATTTAAATGTACACGTCTTTCACAGAAAAACTTTGCATCTGAAAGTAATGATCTATCGATAGCATATTCATCGATACATATAACATGGCTGTCGATAACCAGTTGGCAATGCATACCTACGGTTTCAGAACAACAGCTTCATATTAAACACTAAGAAAACTATCTCAGAAATCACTCGGTGAAGTAAACCAACATATCAGAACCATGCAGTCTTGAAAGAGACTCTCTTGACTCGTTACATGGCGACGTGTCTTCAGACATATATCAGAGTGGTTTCGGTTCCACCCATAAATCACAACGTTAACTTGTAAACATTAAAAATGGGTGTAGGTGAGCTACAGGTTCGTGCAGTGTGCACATTGTAACCGTTAACATCCATTGTAGCAGCAATGCGGGGTCAGTGAACATGGGCGGATCCAGGATTCTTTTTGATTTTTTTATTTATTTATTTTTTTATTTTTTTTTATTATTATTTTATTATTATTTTTTATTTTATTTTATTTTATTTTTTTTTGGGGGTCAGAGGGTTTTAAACACCCCCACCCCCACCCTCTGGATCCGCCAATGGTGAACAATGATAGATGTACGGGGCTTCATTGATGGCTTAGAGCCTCATTTATAACGAGTTACGTAACAGTAATGCTAATAGAGGTATATTCACAGGGCTATATGACCTTTGGAACTTGACAATCTTTAGGAACCTGTGACAAAGTAATTAACCATTGCTAAGGTGGGATAACGGTTGTTTAGATTCGCCAAAAGGGACAATTCCGTTACATGATCTCCAATACTCGAGACCTCTGAATTGGCCTTCAGCAAACCATGCTTGTAAGACGCGACTAACGGGATCGGGTGGTCAGGCTCACTGACTTGGCTGATACATGTAATCGTATCCTAACTGCGTAGATCGATGCTCATGCTGCTGATCACTGGGTTGTCTGGTCCAGACACGATTATTCACATACCACCGCCATACAGCTTGAATTTGCTGAGGGCGTTAAACAACAAACGATCATATACGCAAAGTACTATCATAATTACAGGTCGCATTTCACTGGCTAAAAAGCTTGACCGTGAAACCGCAACGACAGTAAACTTCATAATCTCTGCCACCGACGACGGTTCTCCACCTCTGACATCCTCATCTACCATCAACATCGTGGTTCTCGACACCAACGACAACGACCCTCAGTTTTCCATGCCGACCTACAGTTTCTACGTATCTGAAGACAGCACCAATGGAACGGTGGTAGCCACAGTTACAGCCACAGACAAAGATGAAGGTCACAACGCCAACGTTACCTATCTATTGGGGGATGACAAAGGGGGACTTTTCAGAATGGATAGCATTACCGTGAGTAGCTAAATACTAAACACAGATGTAAAGAACATCTGATTCGAGCATATTTTAATGATTAATCTGTCATGGAGTCTGGTGTTGGATTTGTTAACTTCTTTTACATTGTATAATTGTGATACATGTATCTACGGAAGCGTAGTAGGGCCACGGTGAAAATGTTTGGGGGGTCACTATCTCCTACGTAGGACTTAATATCTCCTACGTAGGACTTAGTATCTCCTACGTAGGACTTAGTATCTCCTAAGTTGGACATACTATCTCCTACGTAGGACTAAGTATCTCCTACGTAGGAGATATTATCTCCTACGTAGGACATATTAAGTCCTACGTAGGAGATCTAAGTCCTACGTAGTACTTACTAAGTATCACCTACGTAGGACTTACTATCTCCTACGTAGGAATACTAAGTCCTATCTCCTACGTAGGAGATATTAAGTACTACGTAGGAGATATAGTAACACGTAAAAATACATTTTCTACCGTGGCCCTACTCCGCTTAGGAGATATGTAAGTCCTAATCACTAAGTCCAATGTTGGAGATTTATTTTCCTAGAAGATAGAACCATATCCAAAAGATGGGCCCTACTACGCTGAATGTATCTAATCACTAATCGCGTCGGCACTATTTCCAAAGATGTAACGGTTTGGACAAGCTTAGAAATGAAATGTATCCACGTAACTCTATCACAGGTTTCAGCATCTTGTTGTGTCAATATTGGTGTTATTAATACCGATCATGATGATTATTATGAGTATTGTACTAGTTATTGTCAATGTATTTTCATTACATGATTGAGGGGGCGGTGGGGTAGCCTAATGGTTAAAGCGTTGGCTCGTCACGCCGAAGACCCGGGTTCGAATCCCCACATGGGCACAATGTGTGAAGCCCATTTCTGGTGTCCCCCGCCGTGATGTTGCTGGAATATTGCTAAAAGCGGCGTAAAACCAAACTCAGTCATTACATGATTGAAGTGTTTACACTGCTGCCTTTGCGGGGACACTCCCAAGATCTCAATACGAGATATTTTATTCATCAATTTGAATATACAGAATATATTATGAAACTATTTTCATATTCAGAAATAATTTGAAGAGTAAGAAGATTCCTCTGTAAGATTCCGACTCTATCATGTAACAAGCCCATGTTACAGAATCAAATCTTGTAACATTCATTTAAAAGTTGGAGTACAAGTAAGGATACGATCTGATGACGAACAACTTCTTCATTACAATTAGAAAGATGTTTGGTCACTTACTTGATAACGCAGCATTCTTAGTTTTAGAATCTGATGATACCAGATATTACCAAAATGTCAAGCGTATTCCTACCCACAACAAACGTATGCCAGGTCAATTATTAACCTGAACAGGCATTATATCATATAGATAAAAATAGGGAATTGCATCGGATAAACTTCTGTCACTGATGCGTCGTGTTTGGAAATGTTCTTCACACAAAACAATGAGAAAATCTTGCAAATCCTTGAATTTTGTAACACTAAAGAAATCTTTGAGCACTTGAAATCACAACAGGAGCATGTACCCGCAGTGATAAGGCTCGGCTGTTGCTTAAAATGTCGTAAAAGCACCATCTCGCAAAGTACATAATGTGATGAAAGGTTGGAACGGCTGTTGTGTATGATGGGATATCATTATCATCTGATGTGGATTTATTGTGGCTATACAATGATTCCGAAATGACCAGATATCTTTTTTTTTGTCTACTTTTTAATGTGTCTTTCTCGGATTCTCTGTCCAACAGGGTTATATCATCTTAGAAGGATTGTTGGACCGCGAGTACGTCAGCACATACAGTCTCACCATTACAGCTCGGGATAACCCGGTCTTCGAAACACCGAGGTTAAAACGGACAACCATCACCATTGATGTAACCGACGTTAATGACAACAGTCCCCAATTTGATACCGACTACCACCAACATCTAATTTCTGAGAAAACCAATCAAGGTGACGCAATACTGACAGTACATGCAACTGACAAGGATATTGGCAACAATGGCAAAGTGTGGTACTCTCTTCAAGACGAGACGGTCAACTCCTCTGTCTTATTCACTATTGATGCCATCACAGGCGCTATCACAGCAGCGAAGGACCTGTTAGGGCTTGCCGATACCTACACTCTGACGGTCGTGGCCACCGACGAGGGGATTGGAAACCTCACTGGCAACGCCACTGTGACAATTACCGTATTGGACGAGAACCTCAACAAGCCCGTCTTTGTCAACGTCACCGATATACCCCCAATACCAGAGGTACGTTAGAATACTGTTTCATTGAAATGCTGTAATGCGCTGTACACTACTCTAGATCTGTTCCTTCGAAATTCCTGTATCCATAATGTGGGTTCAATCATCTTTCGAAATTAACGTCGATCGAAGCCGACTGTAAACCACCTGGACCCACAGCTTTTGTTTTCTGCAGGTCCTTATGGTCCACAGCTTTTTTATCCCCAATTAAAATATAGGGGCTACACATTCTGATCAGGACTCACAACTTTTCATGGTTCTTGGTCCTTAGGGCCTGCAGTTTTTCAGGGCTAAGAGCAAAAACTTGTTCAGGTCCGATCTACTCCCACGTCACGTGGTTGTTAGTTTGTCAAAGTCATACTGACTGTCCTTGGTTTCCCTAAAATAACTTTCTACTATGAAGCAAGCGACGCCTTTATCTAAGGCGTTGTGTTGAGGCTATGTAACTATGATCGAGTTCGAATCCCGTTCACCGCGATGATATTTCAAGGTTTGTGTCCACCATGCCCGTGCACGTGGGTGTTTTAATGCTCTCCCCTTACATTAGCAGACACGCCACGAAATGTTGTTTGTTTGTTGCTTAACGCCGCACTCAGCAATATTCCAACTGTTTAGCGGCGCTCTGTAATCGAGTCTGGACGAGACGCTCCAGTAATAAGCATCATGAGCCTCGTTCTGCGCAATTGTGCGGAATATTGTTCAAAGCAGGGTTAACTCACTCCTTTAGAAATCGGGGTGGCGGGGTAGCATAGTGGTTAAAGCATTGGCTCGTCACGCCGAAGACCCGGGTTCGATTCCCCACATGGGCACAATGTGTTAAGCCCATTTCTGGTGTCCCCGGCCGTGATATTGCTGGAATATTGCTATAAGCGGCGTAAAACTAAACTCAGTCAGTCAGTCAGTCCTTTAGAGTTCTGTATCACTTTAGACTTTTCCCACATAAGCTGACAGATGACGCTAAACCCAACAAATTCACAGACAGTTTCTAAACTCTTGCTTTTAACTTGTGCAACTGAAATGTACATATATAAAGTAACTCATTGAACATTAATAACTGCTGCAATCGCGATATATACATTTCTGATGGTCCGGGCTCTGAAATGCCTCAAACTCCTGTTGGCTGTTTGAAAGTTCGTTTCATCGTGTCCATAATGCCTGATCTCTTCAGTGACTGTTTGGCCTTGTCCAAATATATCATTCGCAAATGGCCAGCTTAATTCAACTAAATGGCCTATGGCTTACTCAGTTAGTATCTGTACATAACAACTGTCTTTTCAGTGTTCCCGAGTGGGTTCACAGATCTTCCAGTTTTTCGCTACCGATGCGGATAGAGACAAGGTTTACAATGGTAGAGTGGAGTTCAATGTGACTGTCGACACCCCAGATACCACCAAACAGCACTTCAGACTGGACAAGTCTACCGGATCTTTAAAAGTTAACAAACGACTGAACAGCGAAGTGCAGAGTACATTTACAGTGAGTATTTATGGCGTGAAAATAGCAGTACTAGTAGTAAAGTAAAAGTAGTAGTAGTAGTAGCAATAACACTACTAGCAGTAAAGTAGTAGTAGTAAAAGTGGTAGCACTGGTAGTAGTAGTAAAGTAATAAACTACTAGCAGTAAAAATAAAGTACTCGTAGTAGTTAAAAGTAAAGACTACTAGAAGTAACAGTAAAGTGAAAGTACTTACAGTAAAGTAGTAGTAGTAAAGTAGCAGTACTCTTAGTAAAAGTAGTAGTGAAGTAGCAATACTCTTAGTAAAAGTAGTAGTAAAGTAGCAATACTCTTAGTAAAAGTAGGCAAGTAGTAGTCTTGGTAGTAGTAGTAAAGCAGCAGTACTCTTAGTAAAAGTAGTAGTAAAGTAGCAGTAGAAAAAGTAAGCGGTACTCAGTAGTGAAAGCAACAGTACTCTTAGTAAAAGAAGTACAAGTAGTAGTGCTATTAGTAAAAGTGGTAGTAGCAGTGGTAAAGAAGCGGTACTCTTAGTAAAAAGTAGTAGTAGTAGTGGTTAGTAGTAGTAGTAAAGTAGCGGCACTCTTAGAAAAAGGAGTAGTAGTAGTAGTAACGTAGCGGTACTATCAGTAAAAGTAGTAGTACTCTTAGTAAAAGTACTAGTAGTAGTAAAGTAGCAGTACTATTAGTAAAAGTAGTAGTAAAGTAGCAGTACTGTTAGTAAAAGTAGGGGTAGTGGGGTGGCAGTAATTTAGTAAAAGCGTTGAGCTCGTCACACCGAAGACCCGGGTTCGAATCCCCACATGGGTACAATGTGTGAAGCCCATTTCTGGTGTCCACCGCCGTGATGTTGCTGGAATATTGCTAAAAGCGGCGTAAAACCAAACTCAGTCAGTCAGTCAGTTAGTAAAAGTAGTAGTAAAGTAGCAGTACTACTAGTAAAAGTAGTAGTAAAGTAGCAGTACTGTTAGTAAACGTACTAGTAGTAGTAAAGTAGCAGTACTATGAGTAAAAGTAGTAGTAAAGTAGCAGTACTGTTAGTAAATTTAGTAGTAAAGTAGCAGTACTGTTAGTAAAAGTAGTGAGTAAAGTAGCAGTACTATTAGTAAAAGTACTAGTAGTAGTACAGTAGCAGTACTATTAGTAAAAGTAGTAGTAAAGTAGCAGTACTGTTAGTAAACATACTAGTAGTGAGTAAAGTAGCAGTACTATTAGTAAAAGTAGTAGTAAAGTAGCAGTACTGTTAGTAAAAGTTCTAGAAGCAGAGGAAGTAGCAGTACTGTTAGTAAACGTACTGGTAGTAGTGCAGTAGCAGTACTATTAGTAAAAGTAGTAGTAAAGTAGCAGTGCTCTTAGTAAACGTACTGGTAGTAGTAAAGTAGCAGTACTATTAGTAAAAGTAGTAGTAAAGTAGCAGTACTCTTAGTAAAAGTAGTAGTAAAGCAACAGTACTCTTAGTAAAGTACAAGTGAGTAGTACTCTTAGTACTGTTAGTAAAGTAGTAGCAGTAGTAAAGCGTTACTCTTAGAAAAGTAGTAGTAGTAGTAGTTAGTAGTAGTAGTAAAGTAGCGGCACTCTTAGAAAAAGGAGTAGTAGTAGTAGTAACGTAGCGGTACTATCAGTAAAAGTAGTAGTACTCTTAGTAAAAGTACTAGTAGTAGTAAAGTAGCAGTACTATTAGTAAAAGTAGTAGTAAAGTAGCAGTACTGTTAGTAAAAGTAGGGCGGTGGGGTAGCCTAGTGGTTAAAGCGTTGGCTCGTCACACCGAAGACCAGGAGTTGAATCCCACATGGGTACAATGTGTGAAAGCCCATTTCTGGTGTCCACATGCATTGATGTTGCTGGAATATTGCTAAAAGCGGCGTAAAACCAAACTCAGTCAGTCAGTCAGTTAGTAAAAGTAGTAGTAAAGTAGCAGTACTACTAGTAAAAGTAGTAGTAAAGTAGCAGTACTGTTAGTAAACGTACTAGTAGTAGTAAAGTAGCAGTACTATGAGTAAAAGTAGTAGTAAAGTAGCAGTACTGTTAGTAAATTTAGTAGTAAAGTAGCAGTACTGTTAGTAAAAGTAGTAGTAAAGTAGCAGTACTATTAGTAAAAGTACTAGTAGTAGCAGTGCAGTAGCAGTTTACTATTAGTAAAAGAGTAGTAAAGTAGCAGTACTGTTAGTAAACATACTAGTGTAGTGAGTAAAGTAGCAGTACTATTAGTAAAAGTAGTAGTAAAGTAGCAGTACTGTTAGTAAAAGTTCTAGAAGCAGAGGAAGTAGCAGTACTGTTAGTAAACGTACTAGTAGTAGTGCAGTGCTTAGTACTATTAGTAAAAGTAGTAAGTAAAGTAGCAGTGCTCTTAGTAAAAGTGCTGGTAGTGAGTAAAGAGTAATGTAGTACTATTAGTAAAAGTAGTAGAGTAAAAGTAGCAGTACTATTAGTAAAAGTGAGTAGTAAAGTAGCAGTACTGTTAGTAAAAGTAGTAGTAAAGTAGCAGTAGCAGTATTAGTAAAGTAGTAGTAGTAAAGTAGCAGTACTAGTGAGTGTAGTGAGTAGTAGTAGAGTAGCAGTGCTATTGCTAGTAAAAGTAGTACTGGTAAAAGTAGAAGTAGTAGCAGTACTATTAGTAAAAGTAGTAGTAAAGTAGCAGTAAAAGTAGTACTGGTAGTAGAGTAAAGTACTAGCAGTACTGTTAGTAGTAAAATGTTCTAGAAGCAGTAGGAGTAGCAGTACTCTTAGTAAACGTACTGGTAGTAGTGCAGTAGCAGTACTATTAGTAAAAGTAGTGAGTAAAGTAAGCAGTATTAATTAAGAAAAGTAGTAGTAAAAGTAGTAGTGCTAAGTTAGTAGCAAGTAGTAGTAGTAAAGTAGCATTACTATTAGTAAAAGTAGTGAGTAAAGTAGCAGTACTATTAGTAAAAAGTGGTAGTAAAAGTAGCAGTACTATTAGTAAAAGTAGTAGTAAAGTAGCAGTGCTATTAGTAAAAGTAGTAGTAGTAGTGTGCTATTAGTAAAAGTAGTAGCAGTACTATTAGTAAAAGTAGTAGTAAAGTAGCAGTACTATTAGTAAAAGTAGTAGTAAAGTAGCAGTACTGTTAGTAAAAGTAGTAGTAAAGTAGCAGTACTATTAGTAAAAGTAGTAGTAGTAGTAAAGTAGCAGTACTGTTAGTAAAAGTAGTAGTAAAGTAGCAGTACTGTTAGTAAAAGTAGTAGTAAAGTAGCAGTACTATTAGTAAAAGTAGTGGTAGTAAAGTAGCAGTACTATTAGTAAAAGTAGTAGTAAAGTAGCAGTACTAGCTTAGTAAAAGTAGTAGTAAAGTAGCAGTACTATTAATAAAAATAAAAGTAGTGAGTAAAAGTAGCAATTACTATTAGTAGAAGTAGTAGTAGTAAAGTAAGCAGTACTATTAGTAAAGTAGTAGTACCTGTAAGAGCAATAGCAAAGTAGCAATTACTATTAGTAAAAGTAGTAGTAGTAGTAAAGTGGCAATGCTGTTAGTAAAAGTAGTAGTAAAAGTAGCAGTGCTATTAGTAAAAGTAGTAGTAAAAGTAGCAGTAGTACTGATTAGTAAAAAGAAGTAGTAGTAAAAAAGTAGCAGTGCTCTTAGTAAAAAGTAATAGTAGTAGTAGCAAGTACTGTTAGTAAAAGTAGTGAGTAGTGAGTAAAAAGTAGCAGTACTATTAGTAGAAAGTTATTAAAGTGGTGAGTAAAGTGGCAGTATTGATGGTATTAGTGCTAATTAAGAGTAGTAGAGATAGCAGTGTAGTGAAGTAAAGAGGCAGTGCTGTTAGTAAAAGTGCTGGTGGTAGTGGTGAGTAGCAGTACTCTTAGTGAAACTATTAGTAAAAGTGATGAGTAGAAGTAGCAGTACTATTAGTAAGTAAGTGGTGAGTAAAGTAGCAGTACTATTAGTAGTAGTGGCAGTACTATTAAAGTGTAGCAGTTAAAATGTAGAGTAAACATTACTGGTGGTAGTGTAAGTAGTAGCAGTACTATTAGTAGTATTGAAAGTAATAGTAGAGTAAGTAAAGTAGCAGTGCTCTTAGTTTTGAGTAAAAGAGTAGTAGTAAACAGTAGCAGTACTATTAGTAAAAGTAGTAAGTGCAGTAGTAAAAAGTAGCAGTGTAGTAGTAGTAAAGTAGTAGTAAAATGCAGTACTGTTAGTAAAAGTAGTAGTGGAAAGTAGCAGTACTATTAGTAAAAGTAGTAGTAAAATGCAGTACTAATTGAGTAAAAGTAGTAGTGCAAGTGAGCTGAATTACTGTTAGTAAAAAGAAATATAGTAGTGAAAGTGGCAGTACTATTAGTAAAAGTGGTAGTAAAATGCTTGGTACTATTAGTGGGAAGTGGTAGTAAAAGTAGCAGTGCTCTTAGTAAAGCATGCTGGTGAGTAATTAGAGTGTAAATTACTATTAGTAAAAGTAGTAGTAAAAGTAGCAGTACTATTAAGTAAAAAGTAGTAAAATAAAATTAGCAGTACTATTAGTAAAAGTAGTAGTAGAAAGTAGCAGTTACTCTTAGTAAACATTACTTTGGTGGTAGTAAGAGTAGCAGTACTATTAGCTAAATAAAATAGTAATAAAAGTACAATACTGTTAGTAAAAAGTAGTAGTATGATGTAAGTAAGTAAGTTAATGTAAGTCTAAATTAGTGAAATAAAGTAGCAGTACTGTTAGTAAACGGACTAGTAGTAAGTAAAGTGTAAGTACTGTTAGTAAAAGTAAAGTGATAAAGTAGCAATTACTATTAGTAGAAATTAGTAGTAAAATAAGCAGTGAACTTAGTAAAAAGTGTTGTACTGAGCTAGTAGTAGTAGTAAAAGTAGCAATTACTGTTAGTAAAAGTGTGTAAAAGTGGCAATTACTATTAGTAAAAGTAGTGAGTAAAAAGTAGCAGTACTATTAGTAAGAAGTAGTAGTAAAAGTAGCAGTGCTCTTAGTAAGCAGTTACTGGTGGTAGAGTAAGAGTAGCAGTACTATTGCTAAAAGAGTAGTAGTAAAAGTATAGCAGTACTATTAGTAAAAGTAGAAAGTAA